CACTCCATTGATTTTCTCTTGTCTTGTTTTTTTCTTTCATTTCTCCAAAGATGATGAACATTTTTTGTCATCATCATCATCATCCTCAACCCTTTGCATCTTTGTTCATGACAACAACATGATCATCATCATCATCATCATCTTGTTGTTGTTGTTGATGCTGATGGAGATGATAAAAGCTACTTAAGATGATGATGATTGTCTTGATACTATTGTTTCTTGATGACTGATTCCGTTTACTGATTGTTTGAATTTTTGGTAAATATCAACAATTTCAATTTGATTGTTGAAACTTTTCATCTTTGAATACATAAGAGGAAATAAATTCACAACAATTGAATTGATTGTTGTGAATGGGACAAAGTTAATAGTAAATTTTTGCTTCTTCATTTGATTTGTGTGTTGCTGATGATTAAGAAAACAATATAACTCAATGTTTATACATTCATTTTCCTTCATTATCATTCATTTCTATCATTTAATAACAATACAATCAGTTGATTATCATCATCATGATAATGGTTTTTAATGTTAATCAATGATTATTGTGTCATCTCATTTTTTTTTGCTTCATCTTGAATACTATTAAATTATCATCTAATTTGATTGTAAATAATGATGGTTATTATATTGATAGTTTTCTTGTTATACTGATTAATTTAATTATGATCATTTTCAATGGATAAATAAAATGATTATCATAAGGTGATAAAGATTATCCTTGTTATCATTTGGTTAACCTTTAGTGGTCAATGGTCAAGTAAACATTGAATTGAATAGATGTCATGATATTTAGATGAGTGTCTATTGTTATCGTTAATTTAATTATATCCCAATTAAGCCAATCCAAATATTATTGATTGTTTATCATCATCATTCAATGATTATCATTATTTTTCATTATTATGGTTATCAAAAGTTTCCAAATGTTAAATGAGTTAAATTGTTGTTTTGTTTAATTATTTTGTTGTTGTTGTCATTTCATTTACTTTGATTGTCATTGTCAATCTTAATTTATATTGATTGAGTTTTAAATCAATCATGATCAGTCAATTGATGGACTGAATCATCATCAGGTTTAGGACTGCAATTAATTGTCAAATAGTTAACAAGTAAATCAAAGTGTAAGTTGACATGTAAATGATAATTTGAAATCATGAATTGGAAATGAAGGAAAATGTAAGAGGAAGATGAAAAATAATGATGAAAACTCAGGAAGATAAATAAAAAAGGTGAACCTATGGTGAGTAACATGATGTTTCCTTGTAAGTATCATGATGGATGAAGATGAAGATGATCAGAATGATGATAAAAACTAATCCAAAATCAAAGCAAATTTCATCTTCCTCAGTAAATGTTCAACATACACTTTGATTGTTTCACCATTTTCATCAATCTTTGTCTTCCTCATCATCTGATCAGCAAAAACTTAACTTGAAACTGTCTCTCAGTTACATGTAACCATTAGAATCATGATAAGTTTAAGGAAAAAAGGAAATTAGAACAAAAAACAGAATTTTTTTCACTTCTCCCAAATAAGCATCATTTCCTTATCCTTTTCATCCTCTCCATTATGCCAACATCATCATCATTTTGTCAATCATCCTTCCAGGTTAAACTGTAGGTATCATCACCAGAATTGTTAATTTAAATTGTTACCAAATCAAGTTTACAGTTGAAATAAATTGAATGCGAATTTATCATCATGGAAGAAAAAGTTTTTTTTTTCTTTAAAAAAATTGAAAATTCGAAGTAAAAAAAAGTTGATACATTCGCTAGACAACAAGAAGATGATGACAGTTGATGATGAAAACGACAACCACAGAAGAAGAAGATGAAGAAGATGAAGAAAAAGATGATGAAGATGATGGTGATGAAGACAAAACTATCGATGATGAAAAGATTGGTTCAAGTGCTCGAAAGAAGATGATGAGCAAGATGAAACATTTTCTTGTTCTTTTCTCTCTCTTTTTGATGGTTATCATCATCTTCTTGATCCTCATCATTTTAATCCTCATCATCATCTCATCCATTGTCATCATCCAATGTAACATATGATTAGATTGCATTTTCATCTTAAATCATATTCATAGGCTACTATTATTATCCAAGCACTAGATTGTCAAGATGATGAAGGAAGAGAAAAAAAAAGTTCTAATGTATATTTTACCTACTTTAATGTATCATGATTATGATTAAGTTGATTGTGATCTTAATCTAACTACTTTTTTTTTACATTCGATGATCAATTTTGATTGTTGTTCAATTGATTCCCAGTTGATTGTTATGTTTTCCTTGAATCAATTGTTTTGCTTTTCCCGACAATTTCCAGGTCAATGGTTAATCGTAATTGTTTATCAATCGATGATCAATTTTGGAAAAAAATTTGGATCCTAATTGTTACAACAATTAATTATTACTGACAAAAATCACTTACAATTTATTAATAATTGCTTTAATTGTAAACAATTAGATTAATATGTTCAATTATCATTATGTGTCTTGTTGTTGTTGTTGTTATATTCATAATCATGTTTGAATTACTGTTTGTTTTTCATGATTAATTAGATTAACTTAATTTAATCAACCAGGATTTAAAAATAACAAACAATTTACCAATCAACTGTAACTGGTAATGACTTAATTTGATGTTAATTTTTTTTCTGCAAGTTATTAACGGTAGCAATTTACAATTTAATTAACTAAATTGTTTTCAATCATTTGAATTGAAAAGTTTCCAGTGAAAAACAAAATGATCACAACGAAATCAATTTAATATCAAGTTGATTAATTAAAATGAAATCTAATTGTTAACAGTAGTTAAAGTTTATCATAACCTTTACCCTTTTCCTATTAATCTAATTAACAAAGCTAATCAATCATAATCAACAACTTAACTAATTAACCAAATTACTGAGACTAAATTTGGGAAACTAAATTTCAACAACAATCAACAATCAAGAACAAATTAAAAAAATAATCTTTTAAAAACCTTTTGATTAACTTTGGTTCCAACAACAACAACAACGACAATTAAATAGCAAATTGAGAAATTATATTAAGATGATTAATTGTTACAATTAAACCCTAGAGGATTTTCACTGTGTTTATTTGTTGTTGTTACACTTTAATTGTAATTACTTTTCCTGTATTAATGTGTTGATACATAAATCATTAGTAACAATGATAAACAATAACGGTAACAATCAAAATCGATGATTAAATTTTTACCAAGGGAAACATTGAACAATCAAGTTGATTGTTAAGTGTCCGTCAAATCAAATAACAATCAATGTTTAACAGTTGATAATAATTGTTACAGACTTGATTGTGTAAGATAACAGGATGAATAAAAGAGGAAGAGAGAGAGAGAGAAACATTCGAGAAAAAAAAAGTTCTAAAGAAGTTAAATTCGAGAGTTCGAAACAATATCTAATATCATCTATACTATTAGAAAGGTAACCATGAAATTTGAGAGAAAAACTTTCCACTGATTAATCAACCGTTAATTTTAAATCACTTGGAAAGTGTTTAGATTTTAATTTCTCCCACTGATTATCCTCATCCCGACTCACTTGGTCTGTCAGGTCAAATTTAATCAACTCTTAAACATTTCGACTTGACCAATGGACAGAGACAAAAGGAAAAGGTCGTAGAGATGGAAAAATATGAAAAAAAAGAGAGAAGGAAAAAGTTTTCGATTTTTTCCCCTTCACATATTCGATAAGTTCTAAATTGCAATTCGATGGATTCTGATTCATCCAGTTCGTGGCAAAATGTTATTATATTGTTGATATTAAGTGTCAATGTTTCATGAAAACTAATCCATCATCAAGAGTAATAACAATTTGAGGTTAGTTTCCAATGGGAGTGTCAAGGTAATAATAATAATATCAACTGGGCAAGAATGTTATTAAATTGTTGTAAAGATGATGATGATTATGATTAGTTGATTGGTGATTGAAACAGTTGAACAATAATAATAATAATAATCAAATACATGTTCACTTTATATATATAATATGTTGGCATAAAAATAAGTAATAATAAATGTCCATGATGATGGTTATGTCCATTCAATCATCAAATTAAATTGTTGGACTCGAGGTGGACATTATTTTCTGTGTCATCACAATCAAATCCTTGATTGTGATCTTATCAAAACAACCACCTTATATTTGATTGTTAACTTGATTGTTGTTGATTGTTGAAACACTTCAACGTTTCTTATGTCAATACCAATGTGCTACCATTCAACTTCATCTCTGTGTCCAGTTTTTGGTCAATTTCAATTTCTTGCTTTTCTATCAAAATTGACCAATAACTTTTTTTTTTCATCTTCTGGACAAACAGTTATATCTATCAAAATATTAGCTTTTTATCATCATCATCATCATCATCTTCTTCATCATCTTCCTCATCCCTTTCATCATCCTCATCAATCAAGCATTTAAATGTTTATATTTTACACTTAATTGTGGTTTGATTGTTATCTATTATTTAATTTTACTTTATCAACTAATTAAAGCTGATTGTTAATTGTAGGATTATCATTGATTTAACCAAATTAACTTAACTGCTCATCTAATTTAATTGATTGCTATCATTTTTTTTTTGCTTCTTTGGTTGATTATGATTTAATCGTTTTTCTCAATCGGATTGATTTAATTCCTGTTGAAAAAGAAAAGTTAATCGTAGCAATTTAAAATTTTCATTTTCTCGCTATTTAAAGTAATCAAATAAATTCACTTGATAATCATTCGGCAGATTTTGTTTAATTGATTAAATCACATCATCAAATATTATATTTGCAATTAAAAGTTAATGATGATCAATTTTAATCAGGATAATAAAAAATAAAATATAATAATACTGATTGTAAACAATTAATCATTTAATGTGCTAATATTTAAAACTTTTGACATTTGTATGTTAAAAAGTATTACAATTAGCTAATTGATTAACTAAATAAAAGTTTGGTAAAATCAATTTCCTATTTTCAATCAATATGATTTAATAATAAAATAACAAAAGTCAAGTACAATTAAAATCATAATCCAAGATTAACTTTAGATTAACAATTGAAAGGGAAAAGTTTTAATTGTTTCAAGTAAAACGGAAAACACAATTAACTAATCATATGATATCATCATCTAATGGAGACAATAATGATAAATATAATACTTTTACTGACCAATGGTCAGTTATAAATAAATGATGACCAAATGTTAGGTTAGTGAAGGTCAGTTAAGGGTTAAGGTCAATCGGAAAGCCTTTTTGTCAAAATCTAATTTAACAGTTAATCCAATAGAGGAGGAGAATCGAGGTGGGGTGGGTTTAAGAGTAGAAGATGAAGAAGATAATTTTATCTTCAATTTCATCCTTTAAATGATAATGAAGATGATGGTTAACCACCATCACCATCACCATCACCTCTCTCACTCACTCTCTCTATCTCTCCTCCATTAATTGAGATTCACTGACTGACCAACAACAGTTATAAATCAAAATGACCACTATTAGTTATCCCTTAGTCCTTCAATCCTTAACTCCTCCCTTCCTTTACAATCCTCCATCTTCATCATTATCATCATCATCCTCCCACTCTCCATACTTTTATCATCCTTCATCATCAACCTTTTCTCCACCTCGTTATCAATATATATCAACTTTCAACTCTTTTTATCAAAGCCCAAAAAGGTCACCAAAAACTAACTGTTTATCCTCATCATCATTATCATCACTTTCCAAGTCAAACATTTTCACCTCATTATCATCATCATTATTTACAGATGATTGATGATCATCAGAGAGTCACTATCATCATTAAAGTCAAAGGTGTTCAATCCCAATTATCATCATCATCATCATCATCATCATGTAACATTAATCGTAAATATAAACAACAATTTGTTACGAAACAAAATTTACATTCTGAATCATCGGTTTACAGTTATATCATTTATCATCCTCATCCTCATCCTCATCAATATCATCTTGTCCATAATGATGATAAAAGGACATAGGAAAAAAGTGATAACGTTTTTTTTTGTCTCTTCCGCATCCCAATCATTTATCAATCTCACTTTCCACTTGCTTTAACTTCATCATCAAAATATGAATCAAAACTTTTCCCACTGCGGAACTTTTTTTTCAACAGTGGAAACTGTTTTTCCCACTCAGTTATCATTTCATTTCAAACAGATTGTTTATCATTTCTCATGGTGGGCAAATAAAAAAATCCACCATCAATTCATATTCATGGTGATAACATAATCATCCCAATTCATTCATTCATATAACCTTAATAGTTTCATTATTCAAGTTTCACTTTCATCGGGTCTCAATGGTTACCTTATTTTTTCATCCTTTTTTGCCTTCGGTATTTTGCTCTCTCTCTCTCTCATGATTAATTGATTGTTTCCAGTGTAATTAATATGAATTAATTACTTTCCATGGTGAAACGATTTATATATTTTATTGCTCAGCTTTTTTCCAACCATTCAGAAGTGTAAACAATTAGATGAATCAACGATCTGTAGTAATCACATAGAGAAAGAAAGAGAGAGAGAGAGAGAGAGAGAGAGTGTTAAATTACTTGTGAATCAATGGTTGACTAACAAGCTAACAATTAATAATTGGCTAATTAACAGATTGAATGGATGAATAAAATTGTTAAGAGTAATCAATAGAATCATCATCATGATAATAATCATTTGAATATAATGTTAACTGGCTAATGTCTGTTAAGAAGATGATAAAAGCCAATGTATTTGACCAAAAGTGACCAAGAAAAAAAGTCGACCTTTGATATTGTTGTTAACCTTTCATTTTCCCCCCTTTTTGATGTTATTGCTTGACCACATTGGAAACCCAGTGAACCAACAAAAGTCCACACAGTTATCATCCTCTCTCTCTCTCTCTCTCTCTCTCTCTCTCCTCCTCCTCCTCCTCCTTTCCACACCTCTTTTAATATATCACCTAATTTTCAGCTTAGTTTCCTTTCATAAGCTAAATGAGTTCAACCTTTTTTTCACACTTTGACTTTTGTACTCATATTTATTTCATTATCGACTCTCTCTCTCTCTCTCTCTCTCATTTATCTTCATATTCTCTTTCTTTTTTATCATCCTTCTCATTTTCCACTCTCACTCCGTCAATAATCATAATTGCAACCTTTTTTTTCTTCTCTTTTTTGATCTTCTTTTGATTTGCAGCACAAACTTGAAAAGAGCAAAACCTTAAACCTTTTGTGACATTCGCATCTTTTTATTTTCTTATTCTTTTACCAATTGACCTGAAGATGAAAAGGACACAGGTAAATGTATGTATATGTACAAACATACTGTGTATGTGTACACACTCACTCACAGGTTAGAGGTTTAAGGTCAAACAATAGGTAAGTTTAAGTCTTTTGAAAGTCGAGTTACTGAGACTAACTTGACGATGAATAGACTTATGGCCTGTGTTACTGTTCAACCTTGTTTTCTTTTCGACTTGGTGAGCCTTCTTCCTATCCAGAAAGAGAGAGAGAGAAACGAACACAAAAAAATAACCAGAGAAAAAAACTTAAGGCCACTTAGAAGTCAAACCTTATTCAATAATATCATTATTTCTCTCTCTCTCATCATTATCATCTTCTTCTTCCTCAATCTCGCATCCTTTTTTACTTCCATCTTCTTCTGAGTGACTTATGTGTGTGACTTTTAACGTTTATAATATCATTTGTTTGCTATTCCCTTATTAAACATTGGCTTATATTCATTTGTCGTCAACAATTTTTTTTCTTCTTCTACTCCTATTCAAAAGGTAAATTCACAAAGAGAATTCACAATTTTGTTTAGGATGAAAAAAGATGATGAAGAAGAAGACGAAGATGTGATAAAAGGTACGAACCGTGAAAGTGTTTTTCAATGTTTAAAGTGAAGATGATGATAAGAGTATAATGAGATGATGATGACCGAAAGCACCTCAGGAAGTGAATACACAGAGTCTGTTGTTTACGTCCCTGTTCAGGTTGTTATTTATCCTCCTTCTTATTGGATTCAATCGTCATCTGGCTTACTTTTCATTTGATTTTCTCTTCTTCTTTTTTTTCTACAAAACAAAAACAACTCACCGTTTACCCAAGTGGTGGTTAAGAATAAAAACCAAGATGGAGAGATGCAAGAGTAACCTTTTCGTTGGAATAGAAAGAGAAGAAAAGAGAAAATAAAAAAAAGAAATAGGTAAACTGGGAAAGAGATTCAGGTAAATAAAGTATTAACTGAACGTAGAAAAGAGAGAGAGAGAGAGAGAGCAGTAAAGTCTCTCCATCTTTAACCATTTTCGCATTTAACTGACTGTTCTTTTCTTCCAGGTAACCTGTACGTTTCCAATATCATCTCTTTTGGTAGTCACTGTAACTTTGATCTTCTCCACAAATAAATCGTTGACTCAGTTGAATAACATTCCAAGTGTATAGGTTTTCTGTTTATCAAACCTTATTACCTATACTCCATTTTTTACCACTTAGAGAACGAGAGAGTTGAGTAGAAAAAGGCTTTCTCATAATAACATTATCACTGTCATCATCATCATCATCATCATAATCTAATAGAGCATTTGATATTTTGTTATCCACACCATCCAATGAATCACTCTGTAATTAATAATAAAGTGTTTCTATCTGAAAGAAAAGAGAAAGAAAAAAAAGATTAAAGGTTAAAATTGGATAACAATGAAAAAAAAGGTGAGATTAATTTTAACATGAAACTAATTATATAACTCACATTGTATTTCCTCTGTTGTATCACTTTGGGGATGATTATTTGTTTGATTTAGATGATGATGTTGTTGTTGTTGTTGTTCTGGTGGTGGTGGAGTTGTTTGTGTTGACACTTTGTTAGATGATTGGTTAGTTTAACAGAAGAAAAATTGATCATCAGGATGATCAAGTATAAAAACGGAAGAGGAAAGATGATAATGGTAACTTGTCGCCTTCCTCTGTAATCTGAGATTTTTAGATTATTTTTTTTGCTGCTTCTTTTTGTATCTTGTTTTACTCATTAGTTAATCTTGTTCTTGATCACCATTACTATCATCACCTTTAGTCATTGACATTGACACCAAACAGCAAAAGGAGACCTTCTTATAGATATAATCTGTGGTGGTGGTGATGATGATGTGTCTTTGTAATGTATTATTTACTATTGTCCTCCATTAGTATCAATATTCACAAGTTGATCTCTCTTTGATTATATTGGATAGATAAGCAGTTAATTTGAATGTGAATACCCACAGATTTTGGTTGTAGTGTCAGAGAAGTTATCACATTATATTTTTCTCTGTTTTTTTTTGTTCTCTTCCATTTTTCTTTCCATTGATCTTCATCGTCTTCTCTTTTTTTTCCTTCTTCTTCTTTCTCGGCACTATTTCATCTTGATCCGTGTTCGTTTCTGATGTTGGCTCCTTTTCTTTTTACATCTTGTATCTGTTTAGTTTAATCTGTTGTGTTACTTTTTGTGTTGTTGTAAAAAGTAAATAATTCAATCTGTTATACAGCAATCACATTGTTACTCTGTTAGAACTGTTTAAGGTTAATTGTAACAACAGAACTGTATTATTATCACTATTATCAATGTCATCAGGCTCATCATGTCATTTAGATGATGGATCATTATTGTTATCAAACAGTAGTAAAGTTTAGTAGTAGTCATCTAGTCATCACGGATCATCACCATCATCATCACCTTTTACCATAATCAGCCTCCAACAGATACTATTAAAAATAAAATATTAGATAAATACAACAATTAAAACTTACAATTAGTATTTTATAGAAACAAGAAAAAAAATTAACAAAATAGGATTGAAATCCAAGCTTTTTTCCTTCATTTCTAACGTCCAAACAGAATTCAATCTCCATGAATACAAACAAGCGACATTCAGAATTTCCTTAACCTTCGACCTTAATTCACCTTAAAAAAAAAGATTCCAAACAACGAAACAATTAACAATCAATTTAACTGATTAATCAAAGAGAAAATGAAATTTGGAAAAATCGAATATGTCTAATGCCATCTAGTGTTTCTCCAAACAACTAATGGAAAATTTCGTGTGAAGGAAGAGCCTCCATCTCTTGAGAACTTTTAAAACTATCAAGACCCAATGAATCAAATTCTTTGTTAAATTAATTCTAATTCTTTGGAGAATTAAAGATTTGAATTTAATTCGGTGAATTATCTGCGGAATTTATGGTGAAAACTTGACGGTGACGGCGAAAAGCAAAAACGAATCGTGAGGGTCGAGAATTGTTTTCTTTTGGATCGGATTTGGATCGATACTTTGAAAAAGATACTCTGGTTTCTATGGTAAAAAATAAAAGACCGGGTTGTTGGTTCCAATGTTTTGTTTGATTGTCAAATTTATTTTTATTAATTAACTTTTAATTGTCGAATATTTTGTATTCAATTTACTGGTGGAAAGTTTAACGTTGATCTCACAATCATGTCTGCTGATATCAAACCGAATCATACGATTTATGTTAATAATCTTAATGATAAAATCAAGAAAGAAGGTAAGGTTTTCTTTTTTTTTCTCTTCCATGTTTTTTTTATTCTCTTTCAATTGAATGATTTTTGTTATTCTATTGCTTTTTTTCCTTTATCACTTATGTTTTGGTTAATGAACTCTAATTGTTTATTTTTCTAATGTCTTCTATTTTTGTCTTCTTTTTCTCTACCTCTTTCTACCATTTTTATCTCTTGACTTGTTTACAGCGTTGAAGAAATCCTTACAAGCGGTTTTCTCACAATTTGGACAAATTTTAGATATTGTGGCGAGCAAAAATCTCAAAATGAGAGGACAAGCTTTTATAATCTTTAAGGAAACTACTTCTGCTGCTTCAGCAATGAGATCAATGCAAGGTTTTCCATTCTATGATAAACCAATGGTAATAATTGGAACTTTTTTTTCATTACAAACAATTGGGATTTCTCCTTTTAATACTATTCTTTTGTCTTCCCTTTTCTTCATATTTTCCGTTCTTCTTTTCTCCTCTTATTTCAGAGAATACAATATGCTAAATCAGACTCAGATGTAATTGCTAAAATGAAGGGAACTTATGTTGAAAGACCAAAATATTCTAAACCAGATGAACCAAAACGCCGTAAAAAGGAAAAAAGAATTGGAATCAGTGTACCTGGTCAAACAGTTGGTGGAATTCCTCATTCAGCATTAGTCGAACAACCTCCAAACAATATTCTATTCATTACCAATCTTCCCGAAGAGACAAATGAAATGATGCTCACAGTTCTTTTCAATCAATTTCCTGGTTTTAAAGAAGTTCGATTAGTTCCAGGTCGCCATGATATCGCTTTCGTAGAATTTGAAAATGAATTTCAATCTGGTGCGGCTAAAGATAATTTACAAGGGTTCAAAATTGCCCCAACCAACCCGATTAAGATCACTTTTGCCAAAAAATGAAAGATACCAACTCCAAAAGAGACCAGAAATTACACCATAAACCACATCTCACAAAAGGAAAGGAAGAGAGAAAAAAAAACCTCAACGAAATATCCAATTTTTACATATGAAATTATCCATAAACAAAAATATTATAAATCTTTCTCTCTAAACAACCATCATAATTGACCAACTTTCCCAATGTGTTAATTATCTCACTTTAACTAACAATCCCATTAACATTAACACACACCAAAGTTACAACTAAAAATGGGAACCATCAAGAAATCACCAAACTTCAAATTTGATGGTAAACAAAAAAAAACCGAGAGACTAAAAAAAGAAGATCAACTTAAACAAGAAAGAAAGTGAATAAACCTTTAAATAGATTTATTCCTGTGTATTGGTGTGTTCCCTATGTGTATCTAAACCCTCACATAGAAGAAACAAAAACAAAACAATTAAATTAATTACCCTAAATAAAAACAAAAACGTAAACAATTAACCAAAGTGATTGAATTATCCATTCACATGTAACGATAACGATATTATCTGGATATCAATTGGATCCTTTTCTAAAAAAATCTGTAACCGAAACATCAGTTGGTTGTTGTTGTTTTGTTTTCCTTTTTGTTGACAATTTGATTTTATTTTTTTCTTTTCTTTTTATTATGGTAACAATTAATTACAATTAAAGGTTTACTCATCATCACACTCAATAGATCAACACTCACCTCTAATCATCTACCAATCAAAGACTGATCATTGTAATTGCGAAAAGGCAACGGAATGAGCTTCTTATTGTAAGTAAATTGTGTTTATCTTTCAATTTCTTAATTGTTCATTATTTTATCAGGTCTCAGAGCTCTTAAGATATTATCATGATTAGTGTTTTATATTATTAATACTTTTATAATTTTCTACTCTTTCTCTCCACCTTCTATGTTTTTCTTTCATTTTCTCAACCTTTTTCTTCTCTCTCTCTCTCTCTCTCAATTCTCTCTCATTTTCTATTCCTCTTCCTTTTCTCTTTCTGTTCCCCTGTCTCTCATTCAGTTCCTTTCATTATTCAGCTCTCTCTTTTTTTTTATAATTCTCTTCCTCTCTTCTTCTTTTTCTTCTCTCTCCTTCTCTTTCAGTTTACAATCATCATGTCGCTCTGTCTCTCTCACTCTCTTTCATTTTCTCCCTTCCTCATTTTCTTCTCTCTCTTATCTTTCATACTCGCCCACTCACTCAAACAACTTTTTGCTTTCATTTTTCATGATACTCATTATCGTCAAGATCATTCTCATCTGATTCCAATCACCAAGTTTGTTTCCCTCATCATTGTGATATGAGTATAATGTGAGATTCAATTTATTGTGAATCATATTCCTGTTACAATTGTAGTTGCATTTAATTAGTTTTGTTTTGTTTTTATTTGTGCTCCAAAAACAAAAGTGTATCAAACAATCAACCAACAGAAAAAGTCTTAGCGGAAACTAAAGTTGTTTATGACAATCACTATTATGCCATTATCACAGCATTTAAATGATTTTAGTGATAAATTTTTCAATTTTCTCGTCTTTTCCAGTGGAAGTCGTTCAAATAAAACGTTTCGTCCAAAAAAGACGATACCTGAAGGAACCCATCAATATGATCTAATGAAACACGCTGCGGCCACTTTAGGCTCAGGGAATTTACGATTAGCTGTGATGCTACCGGAAGGAGAAGATCTAAATGAATGGATTGCCGTTAATATCGTTGACTTTTTCAATCAAATCAATATGCTTTATGGAACAATCACCGAATTCTGTACGGAAGAACGTTGTCCCGTCATGTCAGCTGGACCTAAATACGAATACCATTGGGCCGATGGTCAAACAGTTAAAAAGCCGATCAAATGTTCGGCACCCAAATACATTGATTACCTAATGACTTGGGTCCAAGATCAATTAGATGATGAATCACTTTTTCCCTCTAAAATAGGTAAACAATTAAACTCTCTTCAATCATGATAACATATTAACACCAATCCAAATAACAATAACATTTAAATTGTGTAATCTACTTACATAAAAAAAAACCTAATCATCATCACCTTCATAATAATAATAATCTCAATTGTTAGAAATTAATAATTTCTTGAACATTTGTTGTTTCCAAGGCCATTCCGTTGATTTTTCAACCATTTAACCATCAACATGTTTCTAACAAGTACTTGAATTGATTACAAAATATGATTATGGTTAACTGAATCTCATGTAAATTCATCATCTTTTTGTCAATTTCCTTTTTCTGTTCACATTTTCACCTAACATTTTATATACTTAATCATTTGATTACTTTTCTCTTGGATCAATATTATCATCTTTTCTCTCTCTCTCTCTCTTTCCTTAGGTGTGCCGTTTCCTAAAATCTTTTTATCCTCAGCAAAGACCATATTGAAACGCCTGTTCCGTGTTTATGCTCATATTTATCATCAGCATTTTGAAGAGGTGTTCAGATTAGGAGAGGAGGCTCATCTCAACACAAGCTTCAAGCATTTCATTTTCTTTGTCCAAGAGTTTAATCTGATTGAGAAAAGAGAATTAGCTCCATTACAAGAGTTAATTGACACTCTCTCCTCCAAAGACAGTCAACATAAACACCATCATTCAAAATAGTAACAACAATAATAATATGTGATATATTATTATTTTTCTCTCCATCCTTTGCATCCACTTTCACGTTCTACAAAACAAACAATTACTATTAAATCTTATAAATATATATATGAAACAGAGACAAACAAATAAACAACTAAAAAAAAAAGTTCTATATGTATGGAAGAAACTGTGATCCATTTTGATCCATTTTGGTTTCCGAAATGTCGACGTTAAATTATTTGTGCTTGATAAATTGTCAATTTATAAAATTCATGTTGTATTGGTCCATGAAAAGTTATTAAAAACAAAAAGTTATATTATATGATTGATGAAAAAAGGATTGAATCTTGAATCGTAACTCGGATTTGTCTTGATTGTTACTCTTGATAACAAATATCACAATTCCTGTTTTGGTGAATCTGATAATCTTTCTTGTTTAGGTGATTCAGTTTCTTTCCCTTCAAATATACAAGAGGAATCACCTTTTCGCAAAGCTCGATCGATACATAAAAATTTCTGTAAAGATTCATCCTGATGATTCCAATACCAATTTTCAACATCATCTTCATGTCGTTCCAATAGTAGTTCACATTGTGTCTTTAAATTTGTTACTTCGGCTGAAGGTTTATCCCAAAGTTCAAATGGGATTCCCAAGTCAACTTTAACTCCTTTATCAACTAATCCATGGAGAGTTTGAAAAGTTTGCGACATTCCCTTGGCAAATCTGGTTGAATCTTTTCTCTCCTTGTGAATATTATATTCTAAAAGTCTTTCACAAATTCCATCCAATGATTCAACTAACCTTAACTCTGACTGTTGATACTTTTTCCTCTTCTTTTGTTTACTGTCAAGAGAATATCCAACTTCAATGACATCATGAGATTTACCAGTTTCTTTTAACCTTTCCTCCAATTCAAGAACAAAATATTTACACGCTAAATATGAATAAAAGCAAAAAAGATTAACCAATTACTCTCAAGTAAATAACATTTAAAGTGAAAAAGAAAAACAAAATCAACAACTTTCAATCAAAGAATTTACCTTCACATTGACTTGCATATTTGACTCCATGTTCCTCTTCCAGTTCACCTTCAAGACACACAAAACCAAAAAAGTCAAGGATCAGAAGACCAACCAGGTAGACACTTAAAAGGTTTCCAACAATCGATCTCATTATCTAAATCATATAAATCAAATGAAATGTGAAAAAAAACATAAGACAGGTAAGTAAATGACAATCGCTGATTATGTCACTTTTTTCACCGGAAAAAAAAACAATCAACCGCAATTCCAAATCAATGGCAATCCATTAAAACCTTCTAATTAATTCCATCAATCTGTATTTAAGCCAAATAGCTTAGTAAAACAATCAAAAGATAAAACTAAATGAAGGAAACAATTAATTAATTATCACAATCAGATAGCAAACATACAAATCCAAATGGAAGATTAAACAAAAAACGAAAAGTAGAAGAAAAGTAACACCAGATGGAGACACTTTCACTTTCTTTTTTTCTAATTGTAAATGAAAAGAATTAATTATTTTTTTCCCCTTTTCAAGAGAGAAAATAATTAGAAAATTGGTAAAATAATAGAAAAGCTAATTAATTATCAATAATTAAAAAGAATAATCATTTAATCAGTCAATTGGAAAAGAAAATCAATTTTCATATTTGGCGCTTCACCTTTTAGAATATCGGTTATGTATCGAGTTGAGATTCGATACTTTGTACGCCCAAAGGTTCTTTGTGAGGAATCGGATCCATGGCACTCATTTTCTGCCTCCGTTTTTGATTTCACTTTTTTGTTTATTAACACAATTTGATTAATTAATTATTTTTCACCTCATTAACTTGTCCTGTTAATTATTAATTGTTCATCTACAATTTCCTTTGAACCTCTTGTTTTATTTTATTCTAAGTGTTACCTACCTTTTTCTTACCTTTATCTTTCTAAGGTGTCGTACAGTTTTTCTTTTCTCCTCTCATTTTTTTTCTTCTTCTTCTTCTTCTCCCTTATACTTAACCACCATTGACAAAATTTACATAAATATTTTTTTCTTTTCACTTTAACCAGTGATCATCTCTTTCATCATGAATACTAAAAAGAAAAAAGCTCAAGAGATTGGTATTCGATTGCGAACTTTGCTTAAATTACCTAAAGCACACAAATGGGTTTGCTATGAATGTTTTTATGGTAACATTGATCAACCTCTTTTCCTTGGTAAAAATGATTTTCAAATTTGTCTAGAGGAAACGTTTCCCCACTTAAAGACTCGTTCTCTTAAACGAGCAGAATGGGGTAAAATCCGTCGTATGATGGGTAAACCTAGACGATGTTCAGAATCTTTTTTCGCTGAGGAAAGAAATGCTCTTAATATGAAAAGGAAAAAAATTCGTATCCTTCAATCACAAAAAGTTGTCGATATTGAACAATTTCGTGATCTACCTGAAAATATCCCGTTAAGTTTGGTAATAGGAGCAAAGGTAACAGCCATTTTAAGGAAACCTCAAGAAGGACTTTTTATGGGAACAATTGATGCAGTTGACATGACCAATGGAATGTACAGAATAACATTTGATCGACATGGTATTGGTACTCATTCAGTTCCAGATTATGAGGTTATTAGTAATGATCCTCCAACTCACATTGCCCTATCATCATTCCAATCTAAAGTGCGGCCACGATTACCTATGTTTGCATCATCTAGATTTTTACAAATTTTGGGCAATCAAGTTGCTCAAGCTCTAAATGATCGGGATCCACTCTTAAGTAGCCCCATATCTCCAAGTCAAATCAAACAAGAGCCACATTATTCATCTAATGCCAACAACTACGAAGACGAAGGAACTCTTGGTGGCTTTCCAATTAAATTTCTCGCTCTCTTAGTTAGATTAACAAAAATATTGAACATCAAGAAGAGGACAATTTTTGAATTGAAAGCTATGAACACCGAGGCGGAAAAGATGAGATCCCTTCAGGAGCCAATAACTCGCGGTTTTAAAAAGCAATATGCATCTCTAATATTAACATTAGAAAAGCTAAACAATTCTCTTGACGAGCATCTGAAAGCAGTTCAATCATTTACAGCTGAACTTTTTAGATCTCAAAATTTACCTTCAGTAGCTGAGCCTAATAGCACCAAGGAGAAACATCTTCGCCTCGCCAAGGAAATAATGACCAAAACTTTACCTTCTGTTGATGTGAAATCTGAATCATCTGTGAATCTCATCACTGAACTTTTAGGTTTAATGTTACAACTTAAAAGTTTTGCTGAGATAGAAGTTGGTTCACAAGAGTTACAATCTCTTGAAAACAGTTTAAAAGATTGTAAAAAGCTGATCAGTCCAAGTAATCAAAGCCATTTCGATAGCCAAGTGCAAGTGCCTATTGTCTTCATCCAGTCATCATTAAGCCATCTCGGAAATCTTGGTGCTTTTGCAGAATCAGCTATTATATGCAACAATAACAATAATCTTGTATCCTAACAAAATTACATGTTGTAAACAGAATGGCAACAATCAACAACAATCAACATACCAATATACACTGACATATACACAACCATAAACACACACATACATACAAACATCTTCAAAGCGAAAAAAACAAAAGATACAAATTGTCAACACCATCAAAAACAACAATCACACTTACACATATAAACATTACACCAATCAGCAAGAAAAGAAGAAACAAAAAAAAAGTTAATTAAATCAAATCTAATTCTCAAGAGAATACACAAAGTTGTATCATAATATTTTTCTTCCCCTTCTCTATCCAATCGGATAAGTTGAACAATTTTTACCATGTCATCGACATCAACAATTCTTAATATACAATAATCATGTTGAGTCCCAAGAATCATAAAAAAAAGGTAAAGGAGAACAAAGAGAGAGAGAAATTTTCTCCACTTGAATGTCTCTCTTATCTAATTGTCGTACATTTATATCAACAATTTACAAAGAAAAAGAAAACAAAAAATTGAACTCGCCCTTAATTCATGGAGGTCCAAAGAGGAGACTAAGGTGGGATCCATAAAAAAAGTTAACTGATAATCCATCGGTGGATAATAGATTAACGAGAAGTGACTTTTGTTGATCGGCCAATTAGTTGACAATCGATTTCACAACAAACATCAATTGGTTAGTTGACAATTTAACCTCCCACTGTTTGGGTTAACCAATATATTAGAGAAAAAGGAAAAACTAAATCTCGAATCAATTACCTTTGCTACTATCTGACAATTTGAGTGATAAAACTTTTCTGTTTTATCAATAAAAAACCAAAGTTAACCAAGACTAAGAGATGATAAAATAAAAAGGATGGTCACCAAGATGAGAAAGACAAGGAAGATGATGATAATAATATCCTGCTGATGTTTATACTTGATGATTTGAATGAACTTTTACCAGATTAATATAAAATTAGCTTGTTAAACGATTGGGACGCTAATTGGCCAATAACAAGAACAAACAACTTACGGTGATTTACTAACAACGAGTGGGCCTTTTTTCTTGATGTTATGTGTAAACGAGATGATGATATTAATCTGATTCCAAGACCTCCCAAAGACATGAAGATGATTCGTCCTCATCTTTTTATCATCTTACCTTTAACTCTCATATCTTATTTTCATCTTAAAATCTTCTTCTTCTTCTGTCCTTTTTTATGATCTCTTTTTACAATCCTCTTTCTCTTCCTCTCCCTCATATCGTCATCTCTCTCTCTCTCTCTCTCATTCTCTCTAACGACATTTTATTTCACATAATGTTCACATTGTGACGGACAAGTTGACTCTTTGTCCGTCAATCAGTTAACGCAAAGTAAGGCTTGGCTTCAGCCGGCGGGCTTGAAATTATCACCATGATCGTGGTGGAGGAGGAGGAGGTAAAAGAGGAAAAGGAAAAGCAATAAGGTAAAGAGGTGGTCATTCAAGAAGTGATCAGTCAACAACGGTAACCAGTTAGTGCTTTTTTCTGTCACAATCTTCCTCCCTCTTCCTCTCTCTCTCTCTCTCTCTCTCTCTGCCCATCAAAACCACCAGCGGGCATTTACACCCTCAACTCTAGGATATATACTTTTTTCCCTCTCCGTTTACCTTTTACAACTTTGATCTCGATTCTTAAACTAGAATATTTTTTTTTCTCTCCTCGTTACTTTTTCCATTAGTTCGTAACTTTTTGTTCTTGTGGTTGTTAACAGTTGATTGTTGTTTTCCTCCGTTCACAAGTTAACAATATATTTTCCATTCTCTGTAATTGTAACAATAAGTTATAAAATAATTAAATCACTTATTAACTAATCATCTAAATTGTTGACACTCTTATTACAAGTTTCCAATTTTGTCTTTTTTTGTTTCTAATTTAATGATCAGGTAAATTATTAATCATGATCTCAGAATCATTTCAAAAATCATCTCATTCACCTCAACAATTAAATCAAGTTAATTCACCAGCGATTCCGGTGAATACATTTCCTTGGTTCTCAAGTTACTTTCAATATTATTTTTTCTGGCAACGTTTTAACAATTACAATCAATTAACATCAAGCGAATTACTTAATTTAGAATCAGCAACAAATCGTAAGAAATTTAATTTCTCAAAATTAGCTCAATCAGCATTGGAAAAAGATGGAGTCGAGGAAAATGTTAAATCGTCGACATCAGAATCCTCAGTGAAAACTGTTTCTTCATCATCTTCACCCTCGTCATCCTCTTCATCATCATGTTTATCATCACCTTCATCATCATCATCAACAAGTTCATCATTAAGAGATCCATTTATATCTTCAACAACATGTTCCTTGCCATCAATCAATCACAATAAACCAGCAACAACAATTAAATCAATCAACCGTCAATCCGAATCGTCCAATAGTTCAAACGGTAAAAAGTGTCGCTACAATAGGCCAAAACGGAGCTTCACATGTCGATTTTGTTCCCGACAATTTACTAAATCATATAACCTGATGATCCACGTTCGCACCCACACCAATGAGCGACCTTACAGTTGCGACACTTGTCACAAAGCCTTTCGGAGGCAAGATCACCTTCGAGATCATCGGTAGGTATCAACTCATTTTCCCGTTTCAATAACGATAATAATAACAATTAACTTGGTTGGTGGCAATTTACTATCAAGATAATAGTTAATTAACTCAAGTTATAGTAAATTGTGTTGACAGATCGTTAATTGGATTAGCAAAATTTTACCAAAATATGAACATAAATACTTATGATTTTTGTCTAGTTGATTTTGTTTCATTTTCACTGAGGAGCAATTAATCAAATATATAAATAATTTAAGACTAAATATCTTAATTAGTGACAGTTGAAATTCTTGTCACACCCACAAGTATTTTCCAATTAGATTTAATTAATGATGATAATAATCGCAACTATAATGATTAGACTAATTTCCTCGTTCTCTATGAGTTATTTAACTTTCCAATATGAGGTATTATTTATAAACTGGTTTAACATTCAGTTTTTGAGCAATTAAGAGTAGACAGTAATTAGAAGATCGTATTGATTAGAATTTGATTAAGTTGAAACCACAAAGATTTACTGATCAATCTGAAAATCGTATTACACCAATCGTGAAATCCAATGACACTTAAAACATAATTTCAATGTTAAATCATCAGATTGAGATTGGAACATAATTTCAAATAAATCAGTTAAATCTTTGATTAGTTATCTTAACCTGTCAAATTTTTCTCATAACTGGCCTGAGGTAAATTTGTTCATAATCAGTTAATTGAGTTATCAATTCCACTGTATAAGTTGAATGTGATTTTATCCGCAAATATCATGATAACAATTTACCACCAACTTTGATGAACATTAGGAAAACAATTTTCTCATCTTCTCATTTATAATCACCCAAAGAGTTGATTAAATGTTGCAATTATTTTCTTTTTCGCATCTTTGATCCAACTTGATGATTTTTCCTTTGATTGTTGATTATCTTAATTTCCTTCTTTCTAAATTACAGATACATCCATATGAAGGAAAAGCCTTTCAAATGTAATATTTGTGGAAAAGGATTTTGTCAAAATCGCATCTTAACTGCTCATCTTGCGACTCATTCACAATCAATTAGATTCTAAGCTCAACAATATGTCAGAACTTAAAGTTCATCTTCAATTAATGATTAAACTATTAACTTTTTTTCCTACAAATTGATACAACTTGATTTCTTTTATCATTTACAAATGTTAATCAAATTTTCACTCCATGTTTACAGTTGTAGTATTGGCAAGGATTTTGATTATATTCCCTCTCGGTCTTTATTGTCCCAAATTGTCTTTGACATTAATTTCCTTCGATTGAAGAATCTCCTGTAAAATTAAACAGATATAATTGGAAAATAAATTTTTGTTTCAAAGAGAATAAAAATTTAAGTCTAATTAACTAACCTGTGGCAACTTTGCTCTATCCAAAATCGTCTTGATTGATGAGTGATTCTGATTAACTCTTCTGCAGTCAAATCTTTTTTGAACATTAGATCGTTAGTATCTTCACGAAGTTCCAATTTCAAAACTGAATCTTCTTCCTTTAATTTGGTCTCAACTTTCGGTAAAGGCTGAAAAAATTAGAATAGAAAATCAAATTTAAAAATTAATAGAAAAATTGACCAGAAAAACAAAAGAGAACAATCAATCTTACCTTAGTATGTTCATAAGGAAAAGACTGCTCAGGATGGAGCATAACTATAGTCTGTCCATCATCTGTGAGAGAGATTCTAAAATCATCAAAAACAAAACGAAACAAACGATAATCAATTAATCAAAATCAATTCTAATCAGAAAAAAAAGTCAAAACAAACCAACAATCACAATAGATTGTGACATTATACTTACTGTATTTCACTTTGACTAAATGATTTAGCCGAAGAAGATGATAGCCGACCAGGTAAACATCTTAAATTAAATAATTGTGAACATGTAATTCTATTAAACATGATTAATTAAATTGATTAAATTCCATAAACAAACAAATGTGAAAACGTGAAGAAGAAAAAAAATCAAAACAAATGACCGATTAATCTTTTCTCAGCGCCATCTATCCGATAAAAAGAAAACTTGAAATTCTATTTATTTTCTCATTCCAATGTTTATGTTTATCTACCGGTTACACTAATTGTCAAGTGTTTCTCTAATTATAATATCTAATTGTTTTCTATTCTAATTGTTACAATGAGTGAAATTAAGGTAACCCCTTTAGGTGCAGGGCAAGATGTTGGTCGAAGTTGTATCATTGTGACAATTAATGGTAAAAACATTATGCTTGATTGCGGGATGCACATGGGTTATAATGATGATCGTCGGTTTCCTGATTTTAGTTATATAATTAAAGAAGGACCTGTAACTGATTTTATTGATTGTGTGATAATCAGTCATTTCCATCTTGACCATTGTGGTGCTTTACCCTATTTAACGGAGATGATTGGTTACAATGGACCAATTTATATGACCCATCCAACAAAAGCTATTTGTCCAATTCTTTTGGAAGATTTTCGTAAAATTACCGTTGATAAAAAAGGAGAAACAAATTTCTTTTCTTCTCAAATGATTAAAGATTGTATGAAAAAAGTGATCGCTGTTAATCTTCACCAAGTAATCCAAGTAGATGAACAATTGGAAATTAAGGCTTATTATGCTGGACATGTTCTTGGCGCTGCCATGTTTAAGGTTTCAGTTGGTCAACAATCATTTGTCTATACGGGAGATTATAATATGACACCAGATCGTCATTTGGGTGCTGCTTGGATTGATAAATGTCGACCTGATATACTAATCACCGAGTCAACTTATGCCACCACCATAAGAGATTCTAAAAGATGTCGAGAACGTGATTTTCTACTTAAAGTTCACGATTGTATTGAGAGAGGAGGTAAAGTGTTGATTCCAGTTTTCGCTCTTGGAAGAGCACAAGAATTATGTATTCTATTGGAAACCTATTGGGAACGAATGAATCTTAAAGTACCGATATATTTTGCGATTGGATTAACCGAGAAAGCGACCAATTATTATAAAATGTTCATCACTTGGACCAATCAAAAGATTAAGAAAACGTTTGTTCAACGTAACATGTTTGACTTTAAACACATTAAACCCTTTGATAGAGCCTACATGGACAATCCTGGTTCCATGGTTGTCTTTGCTACTCCGGGAATGCTACACGCTGGACTGTCCCTTCAATTGTTCAAAAAATGGGCTCCGTTTGAAAATAACATGGTCATTATGCCGGGTTATTGTGTCGCTGGTACTGTTGGACATAAGATTCTTGGAGGAGCGAAAAAGGTTGAATTTGAAAACAAACAAGTTATCGATGTGAAAATGTCAGTTGAATACATGTCTTTCAGTGCTCATGCCGATGCCAAGGGTATCATGCAATTAATAACCCAATGTGAACCTGCTAATGTATTACTAGTCCATGGAGAGGCAACTAAAATGTCATTTTTAAGTCAAAAAATTAAGCAAGAATTAAATCTTGAATGTTATATGCCAGCCAATGGTGAAACAGTTTCCATTCCAATTAAATTGACAGTTCCTGTTGATGTTTCCCGTAAATTGTTGAAATCAACCCTTCATAGACCTTTAAGTGGAACAGAATTGGAAGTTAAAAAACCTCGACTTCTTCATGGAACTTTGATAATTAAAAACGATGAATCGGGAACAACTTTCCAACTGATTGAACCTGATAAAGCGATGAACGAAATGGCAATTAAACCTCATCAGATACGATTTACCTCCTCAGTTCGTTTAGAAGATACTAAACGTCGACCAGCTCTTCAATTGTCCGAAATTATATTTAAATATTTAAACTCTAAACTTCGTGATCAACATACAGTTACCTTTTTGAACGACGCTTCAATCATGGTCTCATCGATAATGCTTCGAGTCGATATGACCTCCGAAGATGATTATAAAGATGTGTACATTTCATGGGCAGATATCGACGAATCTCTTGGTTCCTATGTGGTCAGTCTAATCCAAGATGTTCAAAGAACTTTATAAATCACCAATAATTAATTACAATTGTCATCAACCATCACCACCATCATCATCATCATCTAAATTGTAACAATAATAATGTAAACAATTGTCAAACAACGACAAAGTTTTTTTTTATATCATCACCTTTACGATCGGATAAACTAACAGAACAATCAATGAAAAACAAAACATGAGTCCAAGTTGATTTGCTAATTGATTATAATTACTATTTTAATCATCATCTCATATCTAATACTCTTAGATAAATTATTGTGATTAGCAATTAATTTACCCTTGATCCAATTTAACTCGGAAAACCAACTAAACCACTATTGGAGAGACAATCTAACAACAATTATCATTTTATCAACACAATTAGTTGATAATGGTAATAATTATAATCTATGTAATTTGAAGTCCATTCAAGTACAAAAAGATAAACGTGATTAGAATTGATAATACAATTAACGAGAAAATATAATTATAGATTTGGAGAATGACCCAAAAGGAATGAGAAAACTAAATTGTCTCTAATATGATTAAATGGCAAGATTATTATATAATTTCCTATGGAAAACAATTGATCTTTTCCCCGTTTAATTAACTAACCTTTCCTCTTACTAATTAAAGTAACAATGATCAGATGATTAGTTACCAAGGCCAACAATTAAAGTGACACACTAAAAATAATTTAGGTCACTAGTTAATTCCCAAAGTCTAATTACCATGATCATTGATCACCTTTTCATTTCCAATTACAACTGATTATTTTTTACCTTTTCTCATAATTTAATTTAATTGTTCCTCTCTCTCTCTCTCTCTCTCTCTCTCTCTCTCTAATTATCATCATCATTATAATCAAAAATCAATTAATCACCAAATACTATTGTCCAATCAAAGTTACAAAATAATAATTGTAACATGAGGTTGATCGGTAAACAATTAAGGGTAAAATTTAATATCAAATCAAGTTGAAATTGATGAACCTTATTGTTGGTGTAATTTAATTGATTGTCTAGGAATTAGTTTTAAGCTAAATTAATATAGATTAACGTTTAATTGTCTCAAGAAACAATGATGAAAATTAAATCGTAATCAGAGCATATCATTTGATCTCAAATTGAATGTAATTGACAATCTAACTGCTTTTTAATCCTAATTAGTGATGTTAATGATAATCATGATCATCATTAAATTATTATAATTACTGGCCTTAAGTTGATCAGGTTAATTGTAATAATTTTGTAGTTTATCACCATTTAAACAATTAACTAATCATCATTAGGATTTATTTCAACCATCGGAGTTAATTTCATCCAAGTTGATTGTTGTCAATAAAATTTTCATCATAATCTTTAAGCTAATTACAATTTAATTACGATTAATTTAATTGAGATGAATTAAATTTGATTGTTGTCCAAACTATGAATTGAATGAAATATTTTCTTAGGAAAAATGATCAATCTAATATTAATAGATTGGAAACTTTCATAATTAGTTAATTGCTAAGATTTTCCTTAATTGTTACCGCAATTTAATCATTCACTTACTATTAACATGGTAACAAGTATTTTTTGGCAAGCAATTTATTGATTTAATTGTTGATAATCTGAAATACAATAAAAACACCAATACAATAATACAAGTTAATTAATATATTGTACTGTTGATCAATACAAATGTGTTAATTTCTTGAGTTAATTGTTTGTTATTCTTATGATTTAATCAATGATTAATATAAAGCAATTAATAAATGATAAGAAAACAAATAAAGACACCAAATTTGATGAAGATGCACAAATAGTATTACAGTTAATCGTTGACAATTAACTTATTGATTTGATTGTAGAAGGATAAATGTTTCCAATTAAATTGTTTCTTCCGTTGATTTTACTAATCATTGGATTTAAATGTTCACAATGTTTAAAGTTAACAAACACTGAGCTTGATACTTACTGGAAAAGTTACAAGGTAAGAATTGAATCTGAAATGGACAAAATTAGTTAATTGTTTTCGCAATTAAAAGGCCCAACATGGTAAACGATTTACTTTCGATGCCGATGATTATTTCCGTAAACATGCATTCGGAATGAATCTGAACAAAATTCTGGAGCACAATACACACGCTGATTTGGGACTAAAAGGTTATAAGTTAAAGTTGAATAAATTTGCCGATCAAGTGAGTAGCAAACTGTAGATATGGAAAATGTGATTCTAATTGTGATCTAATAATTAGACTACTGGTGAGATGATTAAACGTCGAACTGGCCTTTCCTCGACCAAACTACAATCCGCCTCTTTGAAAATCTACAAACCAAAAAGTTCAATGTCAAAGGTTAACGTTGTAAATTCAAGTGAATTCACCTTTGACTGGAGGTCATATGGAATTGTTAATAAACCGATTGACCAAGGTGAATGTGGTGCTTGTTGGGCTTTCGCTGCAGCCGCGGCTATTGAAGGACAATGGGCATTGGCTACAGGTCAACTGGTCAATTCTTCCGTTCAACAATTGATTGATTGTTCTTGGTCAACTGGGAATGAAGGTTGTGCCGGAGGTAATATGTTAGGTGCCTTTTTGTATCTCGGAGAGGAAAAGTTTGTCAATGGTCAAGATTATCCTTACCTTGGTAAAGACTATGTTTGTCTTGATGGTAAAATCAAATCTAAATATGGTAAAGTCAAATCGATTGGTTTTATCGATTCACTTAATGAGACTCAACTTGCTTTAGCGGTACGAGAAATTGGCCCGATAACTGTCGCAATCGATGCTGGGTCACCTTATCTCATGTTTTACTGGGAAGGTATTTACGATGACCCAGATTGTACCACGGCGGTCAATCATGCCGTCACGATTGTCGGTTATGGTACTGATTCCAATGGTCAAGATTATTGGATAGTTAAAAATAGTTGGGGCTCTGATTGGGGTGATAATGGTTACATTAAGATGCGAAGAGGTGTCAATCTTTGCGGAATTGCCGAAAGTCCAATTTACGCGATTTTATCGTGATTAAGGCCAAATTCAGTTCCATGTTAATCAATTAGATCATCTATACATTTACAATTCTAATTATATTATTATTATCATGGTTATCTTTTAATGTATTCAAATGATTAACAGTATCTCAAATCAGTTGAGGTCACATTGAAATATTAATGATTTTGGTCAACAATTTATTGATCTAATTGATGACAATTAAGAGTAATAAAACAAACTAACTATAGGTGTTAATTGATTATGTTGATTGTGGCTTCGTTTTTATCTAATTATCTGGTTAGTCAATTGATAAATTTTTGTTAATTTAAATCAATAGATTTAATTTCCAATTCAAATTAACTCAATCATTTGTAAGGCTCAGCCATTAATTAATCTAATTTTCATTTGCAATTCCAATTGAAAACTAACCCATTGATTTGATCACGCAAACAATTAACCAACTGAATGTAAATTTAATACAGAACTTTTTTTATCCACTACGACTAATTCACTGGATATCTCAAGAACTAAAAATCACATGAATATCAAACTTGACCAGAGAACTGAACAGAATTGAAGTGCTTGACTCAACGATTTTCAAGGTGATCGAGGTCATTTCCAGAAGGGCGCGTTTAAAGGCCATTTTAAAGTCTTCGTGTAAAAAAGCATATAGAATTACCCTAGCAAATCTATTTTTGAGCGACTATGACGAAAAGATTATAAGATAATCATGTTTCACTCCAGAAACGATTCAAGGCTCAAGTTTACAAGAAAAGTCTGTAAGTCAGAATTCATATAACTTGGAATTATTCGGAATAAGAGAATCCAAATGAGCTCGTTGGAAATCATATGGAAAATCATGAATATGAACTTTATCAGTTTGTTAAGAAAATGATTCATTAGTCTATTAGTTTATTTCTATCACAAATTTACCTTTCTAACATGTCCAATAGACGATCAGTACTCATCACACGTGTAATTGAATTTTCAAATTTTCGATCTTTTTTATTTGTGGTCCGATCGACAAAATTTCATTTCGGTAATCAGCATAACGAGTTGTGTCAGAAAAACGAGTAAAAATTTTTTGGTTAATGGGGATTTTGATTTGCCCCTTAACTAAGGTAAATTAGCAAATGTTGTTGATATTTTGGTGACTTTTGCGTGTTGATTGTTTAATAAATGATAATCAAAACAGTTACAAGTTTGATTGATTAATCTGAATAACAATTTATCTTTGGTTGTTGATGTTTTTTTTAATTTGCTGATGATCAGTTGAGCTCTGACAATATTTCAACCTGTATATTGTTGTTATAAAGGTTTGATGGAGAGTCTCAGTGTCCAATCAAGCCAACAATTAACTTGACATGTTTCAAAAACTATTTAATTGCGTGATAAAAGCAAAGTAAATTAAGTATCATCATCATAATCTAAATCAATTGTTGGTTTCGGTAAAAAGAAAGACAAATTTTCTGTATATACATGTATGATTGATATACAGGGTCATTTGTATGGTCAATATATCAAAAAATCAACCTGATTATTGGACAAAAACAAAGCGATGGACATTGGTCAAATTACTTCATGTAACAATTAACTAACTAACTCTCATTCTCATTCTCATTCTCTCTCTCTCTCTCTAACTCTTAATCTTTAATCACCCTGTATTGATCATGATGATTGTCACAATCGCTGAGACAAATTCATTTGATTCTTATCATTGAAACGACAAGAAATTAAGATTAATTTTCATGAGATTGGGTCAACTTTAGATTGACCATCAAGAGCATGTCAGAATTGTGGCCAATTTAATGGTTGGTTGATTATTAAGTTCTAATTGTAATAATTGATAAAATATGCTCATCATCCTCCAGAGAGATGCAATTGGGTGGAAGAGGGTGGAAAGTGAGTCAGGGAGGGAAAAAGATGAAGAGACAAATGAATTCGAAAGGTAAATTGTCATTCTAATGTCACACTGATTGTAATCACTGTGATCTAGTTAATTGTTTCATTTGAAATCGATGCTTTTCCACTGATAAATTTTGTTTATTCTGTATGATTGAAACTAAATCAGCGAGTAATTAACTTTTAATCATGTTCAATTGGATCTACCAACACTGCCACTTACCCCAAGTTAATTGTTATCACATTTGATGGTAATTTATGGTTAATTGTAGTTGAAAATGTGACAATTAGAGTTGATCATGGTTATCATCTAGTAATAGCTGATTAGTATCAACTCGTTAATTGTTGTTGTTGTTGTTTTTTATTGATCATCAATTGTGATTGTTGATCTTGTTTAATTTTTTCGCACTGTTTTTGATATTATGAACTTGAATCAATTAAATGTTGACAATCAAAATAACCAATATGAAGTTAATTACAATGAAATTTTCATTGATTGTTTTGTTTTTCATGTTACAATCAACAAATCACCAAAATGTTTCAATTTAATTTGTTATTACAATTACCATCAGCCATCGGATGGAAGTGCAATTAAAATGCCCATAGGAATCAATTTAGTAATTGTTATTGTTGTTAACGATATCACCTTAATTGTTAATTATTTAGTTACCAATGAAAATGGACATCGTAAGTTAATTGTTACTCAAATTGATAAACAAATTCAATTATCTTCATCATCTTCATATTTTTATCTTAAATCATCAACAACTTTGATGACCAATAAATTATTTTCTTCAAATTATCTTAATCACAATTTAATGTGTCCCATAATTTTAATCATCATCACCGCATCACTTGTATCAGCATCAACATCATCTTCATCATCAGCAACTCCATCATCATCATCATCATCATCTTCATCCCCATCGATTGCAATGTCCACCACAACCAATGGTCAACCAACAGGACGACGCTTGAGAAATCAATCAACATCTTCCGGTTTAAACATTAGATTGACCCAAAATAATGACCTAAGTTCATCTTCCTCATCATCTTCGACATCATCATCATCATCATCTTCATCTTCATCATCAATTAATCAAATCATATCACCTCAATCAATTAACACTTTCTGGTTGGTGGCAATTATATTCAATGCAACTTTGGCTGGTTTATTTTTCCTCATCTTTTGTTATTTGTGTTTAAAAAAATGTAAGAAACAATTTCAATTAATTAGATTGTCCTGATTAATGCTTCCAGTGTGATGATTACTTTTAATTGTAACAGTTTTGGTGTTTCTGTTTATTTGGGTTGATCACGAAACAATTAACAAACTTGTAAATAAAATTGATTACAAGACTTGATGATTGTGTTGGCGTTTCAATTAGATTATTAGTTATTAGAATTAGAAATTAACTTTTTTTTTTATTCCAAGAAAATTAAATTACCAAGGTTACCATTAAATCACTGATTGGGACCGATAATTGCTCGTAATTCATGTCAAATCATAATAGGAATTAAAATAATTAGAATCAACAGTTATGATTAACAATCAGCATGGGTCGTAGTTAATTGTGTTCATTAATCGTCTTACTAATTTACTGTCATTCAAATTGTCAAATCAATTGAAACACGATTGGATAACCAATTCTTAATTAGTGATTAAATTTGAATCAATGTTAATTTTTAGAGGAAAATTAACTTTGGGTTTAAATTGTTTCTTTCATTAATTTCTTGATTAAAGCTTTTCATTATGTATTATCTGTTTTTTATGTTGACCTTATTTTAATATTGACCATTAATTGTTAGGAAAAAATCAATTAATTTAATTGAATAATGCAAACAATTAAACCAAATGTACTTATGGTTTAACTGACCAAGAGATTTTTATAATTAAAAATAAGGTAAATGAAAGTTAAATGATCATAATTAATTAACAATCAAAGGTTAACTCACCCAGAGATTCAGAGAAGATCAAAACAATTAGTAAATTGTAACCATAAGGTTAACAACATTAAGCAAATTAGTAAAAAAACAACAACAATCAACATAATTAATCAACCAACCGTATCTTAATTAACCAGTTACATTGTTTGTAAATATGTTAATTGTAAAAGTGACCATTGAATTCATAAGTAATCAAAAATATTGATGATCAGTAATCAAATTAAATCTGATCAAATTAATCTTCTTAGAATTGAAGTTAATCCCTTGAAAATTTCTCTCTCTCTCTTTGATTGTCCTTCCAATGGTCAACAATTAGCTTTACAATCAAGGAAGATACGATTAGGTGACCACTATGGTGACCCTTTTTTCACCCGTAAATCGATGGCAAGAAATGATCATGAATTCAATGGATCTCACTTGAAAAATGAACAACCGCCTGGGGCAAGTTCAGTTTACACAATTCCAATGGACAAGAATTTATTATCAGTTGATAGTAATAATAACAATTTAATTAGACAACAATCAGCTTTAAATAAATTTAAAGCCGCCGGTCGATTAACTGGACATTTGGTGACATCTTCAAGTCCAATCCAAAGTGCGAAAACTTTGAGTACGTTGGACAGTTTCACCGAAAGTGTCCCCTCGAGTCCAGCTAAATACGATCCACCTCCCAATAGATTACAAGGTAAGTCAAAGTTTAACTTTCGATTTTTTTTATTTCATCTTCTTCTGTACCTTGACCATTAACATGATCAACTCTATTGTCCATAATTAATTATTCATTAACTGTAATCATTTACAGGTAAATTCCCATTTAATCAATTCTATTGTATTTCTGTTAACAATGTCAACGAAAGGTCTAATTACTGATGTTAATGTGAAGCAATTAAATAAATGTGTCCTTATTTTTTTTTCTGTCCCTGGTTCTGGTCAATCTCATTTTCTGCTTTCAAATAAATAGGAAAATAAATTAACTTGAAATTTTTTCTTCCTTCTCTTAATTGTTATCAATTAGGTCCAATTGATAATCTAAAATCAGTAGTGACCGATGAAAATATCGGTAGAGTGGTCAACTTTACGGGATCCAATGTTGACCCAACGATTGTTACTCAAGCTGCCAAATCATTTTATGTTGACCAGATGAAAGAAGCCAATAATCAATTGATTATCAATGGTCAGCCAACATCATCATCATCGACAACTATTAAGCCCGAGGCAATGGTCAGTTGCAATAAAATTGACGGGGAATTGATTAAATCTCATCATGCTCATCCTGCTCCTCCAGCATCATCTTTATCCTTTTCATCAACATCTTCAACCACAACAACAACAACAACAACACATCTCGTTGGTGGAGGTGAAATGAGTACAACGAAAACACCGATCGAGTCCAAAAATTTGATAGTTGATCGAATTGTAAATTATGTGAAACCAGTGAACGATGAAATTAATTGTGATACTAAAGATGAAGGTGATGATAATCAACGACAATCAAAGCAACATAAACACCGAAGCAAAAAAGCACTTGCAATGGTCAAAGATTTACAAAGTATCGGCTCTCGAGTGGTCACCAAGTTACGACAAACCTCAGTTTCTATTCAAACTTCACCGACAATTTGGTTCGGAACAGTTAATGTTAAAAATGATCCATCGATCGCCTGGGAATCGCATCCAATTTATTCTGAACCTTATTCACCAAATCATGATACTCGATTGGAACGGAAATATTTTATCTACTTGGTGTCCGATGCTAATCCTTATTTTAGGAAAAATTGTATCGGTAAAATTACTCTTCCTACGAAATCGGCTTTGACCTTATCTCAGCTTCGGGATATGCTCATGAAGGCCGAAGATTCCTCATTGAAAGATATTCTCAAGAAAAATCGTTCTTTCCGATTCTTGACTGAAACTTATCGATTTGTTGCTCAAAATGAGGCCATTGCTCCGATTGATCAAGTCTACCCGACCCAGGGAATCTTCATCAAATTAAGTGCACCCGATTATTCAATAATGTCGAAATCGACTGATCATTTAACCTTCGAAAATCTTGATTCATTTTCAACAATTAAATCTTCCGGAAGTAAAAGTAAACGAACCTATCGGGACGATGCTAAATTTGCTTCTTTCATCAACATTTCGGAAACTAATCCAGATAAAATATCGTACAAAGGTAAGAGGAAACAATTAACTGATTTGATTGGTTGTCAATTCTATTAATAATTAACTTTTTCTATTCTAAAAATATTAGATCATCAAAGTAATTCAACAATTAAACAGAAACGAGTGACAGTTAATCCTCAACAAATTAAACGGGAAAAAGTTAACAAACTTTATCAAAATCAAGAATCTAATTCTGAACAAGTATCTACAAGTGAGTCCATTTATTTTAATTGTTATCAAATATAAATCCATCTAAATGTTCAATTGATTCCTTGTTAATTGTTCATTTCCATGGATAGTTGATTATTGCAAAAGATTAAGATCTCAATCCTCAATTGGAAGTGATTTATTGTCATAATACCATTGAACAAAAATTGAGTAAATTAATCAGACCATAATTGAAATATTCGTAGCAATCACCAAGCAAATTTAATTGTTTACCTGTTAATTGTTATCTTATTGGTCATCTCTTTCTCTAGGTGACCCTCGTAAAAGGTGCGGTCAGTGCAATAAACCCGCTATCATGGGCTGTGGTAAATGTAATCATGTCTTTTATTGTAGCATCAAATGTAAAAATATTCATTATTCTGATCACCGAAGTACTTGTTCAAGTGAGTAATTAAATCAATTAATTTGCTTCTTATTCTTTAATTGTTGTTTAATTGTCTTTGTTTCTTTCTAGAACCCCTTGGCGATTTTAATCAAATGTCCAGTCAAATGGTAACTTGACCATTGTATTGATTTTGAAATCGATTTGATCGAATCGATTATCTCATCTGTTGACCGATTGAAATTGTTGAAACTTTTTTCTCCCTTGTAACTGGACAATGGTCAAGGGTCAATGGAAAAGTACAATTTAAATTAGAAAATGTATTTTCTTCAATTGGAAAACATTTTGGATAAAATTGATGAGCGAAAATTAATTAAACAATTTGGATCTTTTTTCATTCTTTAATCATCTTCAGCAGATTTTCACTTGTTGAGATCAAATTAATTGGCAAATCAATTAAATTAACTAATTAAAGCGCTTTTTGTTTTGGAAAATTTTTTCTTAATTTTCTTGCTTGTTAATTGTAAAGTTTAACTAAATGTAAACAATGCGAAGATTTTAATTTCCAAAGCAAACAATTAAACAAATACATTTCATTTTGAATTCTTCTTTTTTTGTTGATTCAAACCGATGGATGTTAATTGTTAACTTGAAACATTAAATGGGAAAATAATGTTTATTTAATTGGAAATGATTGAGTTGCAATTAAAACGAGTGTTTAAATCTGATTTGGTTTTAAGATTTCGAGTTTAAAATATAGAAACTTTTTTCTTTTTAAATTAAGAATTGATTTAACAAAATCTCGGCTTGAGTCTACGATAAGACCATTTATCTTCTAAAAATATGTCCAAAGGTAAATCGTGAAGAATCATGAACAAAGGCCAAAGTTTAAGCGCAGTTATCATGTTATCGGCGTTTTTCATAACATCAAGCTGAATCTCGGCCAACTCTTTGTAATGATCTCTCAAATCGATCTCTGGTTTTATCGGTTTACCAATATCTTCAAAGTCTTTATGCAAAAGATCCCAAAATTCTGGTGAAATTTCCGTTTTATTAAGTCGGTTGGCGAATAAGTTAATTGTGATTAATTGGTCTGCAAGATCTTCTGGTGGAGTTTTATAGCATCTGATTTGTTTAGGTTCGATTACCTCATCTTGATGACGTTGTTGGGGATGAGAGTTTCGATTTTCATAGATATTGTTTCCATTGGTCGGTGAGGTAATTTCATGATCACTTTGATGATTAAATTGTTGGTAATCAGACTCTTGTAGTTTTAATTGTTTCTGTTTTGTCTTTTTAGTTTTTGTTGATTTGTTGGGATTAGTTGAAGTAACTATGAAATGTTTCTTTTCATTTCGATAGCCCCATTTGTCTTGGAAAAAGTAGCTGAGATCAATTTCATTGAGCAGATCGAAGTGAGGCCATTTTTCTCGGGCTTGGTTGGCGTTTTCGGAAGATTTCATGATTTCCAATTGAATGTTGGCCAGTTTTTTGAAATATTCTTCAAGAAAATCAGTCGACTTGGTTATTTTACCCTTTCTTTTTAAATCACGACTAAGAACAATCCAAAATTCTGGTGAAATTTGATTTGTCTTCAAACGCTCAGCGAATAGAGAGATTAGCAAATGCTGTTCATCAACGATAACTGGATCTGGAGTATAAGGTCGAGGACTTGGAGTGTGATTAGTAATAATATTACCGTTATTTTTGCTCTTGTTTTTGGTCTTTTTGGGTAATTCCACAGTATAAGGAGCCTCTTTCTCTGGTGATTCAAACTTAATGAGATCTCCAATAGATGTTGATGACCAATGAACGTTATTTTTGGCTTCAGCTTTTTTATTTTTACGCTTTTTCTTTTTACTAACACTCGGTTGTGCTTCATAGCCGATGGCACCGTTATCTTGACCATTGTTAGAACGTGAGGCATTTTCTAAATTGTCGGCTAATTTTTTACCACAAGAACGAAGAGATTCATAGAAAAGAGTTTTCCACTTCAATTTAGAACTTGGTGCAAGTGGAGATGAGAATGCGGTCATCTCATAGGAAACTCTTTGCCAAAATTCATCCTCATTGGTCTCATTCATATATTGTAGATTGTTAAAAACAGCGGTGACTAATTGTATCTCTTGTGAGCTGAGTTGTTGGTGTAAAACTGAGTGTCCAATCTTGAAAGACAACATACAACCATTCATTTTGATACATAGATCACCTTGTTGTTGGTCAGATGATGGTGATGAAGTGGATGCAATTTCAGCTGATGAATTCATGTGTGAATCTTTGGCTTTAGAATGCAATGGATTAGGTAACAATGATGAGCTTGATTGTTTAGAGTATGGCTTTAAATTACAACCTCCAGTGTAGCAAATTGTTTGCGGACCAACTTCAATACGAAAAATATCTGGTCCAAGTGGTTGATTTGATGGATAAACAGTGACAGTCATGTCATTGTCAACTGAGATTACCTCTGAATAGCAAACAGTGGTCACTTTAGAGAGACAATCATTAATTTTGGAAGAAGTTAAAAAATCAGGGAAAAATTTTTTCTCTCGTAAAAATTTTTGACAATCTCGCCAAACGAATGGAGCAATAGTTTTGGTGGGTTGAGTCATGTAAATAGGACCTTTATAACCAATCATCTCTGTTAAATAAGGTAAAGCACCAGAATGGTCAAGATGATAATGGCTTATGATGACACAGTCAATTGAGGTATGAACAAACTCGGAACCAATGAGACATGAAAAATTAGGTAACAAAGAATCACCAAGATCTTTACCACCATTTTCATGGTGACCATTGGAGATTATTTTTTCTTCAGAAGGTGACAAATTAAGGCCACAATCAAGGAGAACATTTTTACCTCCTATTTTCACCAAAGTTGACGATCGGTTAAAATCTTGAACACCAAGTAAAGGGGTTACCTTGATTTCAGACATCATCTTATCAATAATGCCAGTCATTAAATGTTGGTTAAAATGGAAAACGAAAACCGTTAAAAACAAGAACAGCCAAAAAACAGCAAATAAAAGCCAAAGATATTACAAAGATTCGATAAAGCAAAAGATGGAAAACTGGAAACAGAGAGAAAACTAAACTGAAGTGAGAAAATTGTAAGAAAACAACAATTAAAAAGAGAACAAATAAAAACAAAAGAGATGACCAGCAATGGACCAGAAACTTATAACGATATAAAATATTCTTCTTGCAAACAATTAAAAACAATAGTGATGAAGATGTCAAAAGATTAATCACAAATTAGCAATCAAAATTGTAGAAAATTAAATTAACCGAATGAAGGAGTTTCTTTAAAGATGAAAATAAAGATTAAAGTCCAAGATGTTGAGTAGAAGGAGGAGAGATTCTTTTCTCCCTTTTCTTCCCCGGGAGACAAAAGAAAAGCGCGAAATTCAAAAAACATTGATTATCAAATTTTCGAATAAAAAATCAACAAGAGTAACTTGAAAAATCAACAGTTGATCTTAAATTCAATTCAATTAACTCAATTACTTCCAGCTAATCAACCAACTAGAATATCTCTCAATTCAACTGAGTATATGAAGGTGAGCATGAAGATCATCAGGTAAATCTAACTATCAATTAAATTGTTCCAAATGGAGTAAAGTCACAGCGTTGAACTATGTTTTCGACTTATGTGACCTTAGAATATTTTTCGACCAAAAACTTTAATAATTAAAAAAAATCACCAAATGAAACAGAGAAAATCGTTAATTTCTCAAATTAATCATCAATATTTTTTTGAATTTCGTTCAATTGAATAGTCGCCAAGGGAAAAGGGGGAAAAAAGAAGCTCCTCCTTCCACCACAACATCTTGGACCTTAACCCAATTTTCATCATTTGATTTGATAGGTTTTACTTTGTCATTGTGATATTAAATTGTTTTAATTTTATATAATTGTGATTTTGTTATTTGTTAAGTATTAGTTTAATTATCAAAATGGCCGATCAACAACAATCACAATCTCAACAGCAGCAGCAACAACAACAACAACAGTCTAACAAGGATGTAAATTGACGTTCCATCTAAAATTATCTCCTTTTGATAGAATCAATTTTTCATCAATATTATTAAAGAGAAAATTGTTAACAATTTAATATTCTCTTTCTCTATATGTATATGTTTTGTTTCAATTAATTGTTTACTAATCATTTTGTTTTCTTCTCTCTTTCTCTCTATTTTCTCTTCTGTTTATTTGTTCTATTCTTTTTCTTGGTTTAGGTCTTTCAGCAACACAATCGACAAAGGTTATTGCGACTTAAAGTTATCGAAGGTAAAAGCTTGGCGAAAAAAGATCTTTTCGGAGCCAGTGATCCTTATGTGAAAATTGATTTAGTTACACTGGAAGATGATAATGTGATTGATACAGTTACTACCAAGACTAAAAAGAGGGTAATCATTTTGTATTGATTAACTTTAATTTCTGTCATTTCTTTTTTTGTGGTTCACTTTTTCTCTCACTTTAACCATTTTGTTTTTGTCTCTCGTCATCAACATTTGATTAGTTTACCTGATAAATTTGATGTGTATCACTTTCTACCTTTTTTTCTTATTTATCGTTTTTTTTTAATTCTCTTTTTCATTCTTTCCTTTTAAGACACTTAATCCTCAATGGGACGAGGAGTTTATATTTCGTACCATCCCAGATGAACATAAATTAATCATTGAAGTTTTCGATATGAACAGAATAACTCGAGATGATTTTCTTGGTATGGTTGAACTTCCCCTGAATAACATTCCCACAGAAAATGCTGAACGTGTAATTTCATCTAAATTATACATCCTTCGTCCGAAAAGGTTTGATTAAACTTATCCTAATCCATTAACCATCTTAACAATTAAAACTCTCCCTTCCCATATTAGTCCCAAATTCAAGGTTCGAGGACAATTACGATTATATATTGCATTCCTACCAAGTGAAGGTGAAAATGGTACATCTTCAGAGACAAGTGAGGTAAGTGTGAAAACAAATGATTAGAAAAGGAAAAAAAAGTGTATATACAAAACACTAATTGAATCAATTACAATACAATTACTAATTACCGTTATTTTGATGTAACAAAATGATGATCTTCTTTTTCATTCCAACAGCCAGGGTGGGAGGTACTCGAAGTTGAAGCAAATGGCCACGAAGAACAAGCAGTCCAACCAGTTCGCATTCCAACAGCGTCGATTGATAATCGCCTTTCACCTCTACCCCACGGGTGGGAGGAAAGACAAGATGCCAATGGGAGAACCTATTATGTTGATCATATTAACAGGATTACCCAATGGCAAAGACCAACTGAGTAAGCATTTTATTGATTTCACAGCAATTAATTATGTAATGACAACAACGATTATTTCTACTTTAATTTATCCTTAATCATTTATAATATCTATTGATGATTGATTAATGTGTATTCTGATTGTTTCCTATTAATAGACAAACAGGACAAACTACAGGAATTGCTCATCAAAGAAGCATTGATTTAGCTCATTGGTTTCGCCGGAGAGTTCATATTAGTAGTGACCCTGAAGAAAATCAGAATAATCTAGAAGAAAGTCCTCCTCAGGTATATATTAATTTAATTCTATTTCTGTCCGATGTTTTATATTTGTTGTCATGAAAATTGATTTGATTTAATTAACACCAATTTTATATGTTAACTTAACCGTGAATCGAATTTTTTTTGTGAACAATCCACTTTTCAGTCTATATTATCATGTAATTTCCTTCGACTCAGTGTTCAATCTTTGTTTCTTTTTTTATCTTTTTTTTTCATCTCTCTCCCTTTCTCTCAATTACCTTCGTTTACTTGAATTAATGTTTATTTTTTTCTTCTCTTTTTTATCTTGGTGTTTATCTTGGTGTTTGTCCATCCATGTATTAAGATATCGGAATCTCCTCTTAACCAGCCAAGCTCAATTCTCAATCGTCATTCTAAGCAAACCCACCGTCGACTCTCAGAGGTTTTACCCTTTAATTCATTTGTCTTTTTACCACAATCTTCACTTAAGTGTTTTTTCATTTGCTTTTTTCTCACTAATAACAATTATTTTATCCATTTCTTTTATCAACAGCCCGTGTCTAATGATGATCATTCTCGAGAGAGTACTAGTCGTGATGGTAATGAAACCGCCCGTTCCTCTAATCCTACCATAGACAATAACGATGTGGCTCCATCATTACCTTTATCAACACCTTCAAGAACAGATTATCAATCTTCATCATCGTCCTCATCAATCCCAACACCACCAATAGCCAATGTGTCCACCACTTCAATAACAGCAACTTTAACTCCAGATACTGGAGGAGGAGGAGCGACTTCATCAGCTACACCAATTTATAGCAATGATAATAACAGTGATAATATGATAAATAATAATAATTCCAATGCAACTGCCTCAACATCAAATGATGATTTACCTGAAGGTTGGTCTATGCAACTTGCTCCTAATGGTCGTACATTTTACATCGATCATAACACCAAAACAACAACCTGGATTAATCCTCGAAACGGAAAACCATCCCCTCAACCTCGACCTCAAGTATCCGCATCTCCCTCAATGGGAACATCAATTGATGATGTTGGTTCACTGCCAGACGGTTGGGAAGAGCGAGTCCACTCTGATGGTCGAATATTTTTCATCGATCACAATACCAAAACAACCCAATGGGAAGATCCTCGACTTAATAATCCCGCAATCGCTGGACCCGCAGTTAGATATTCTCGTGAATATAAGCGAAAGTATGAATACTTTCAATCTAAATTACCGCGACCCTCTAACGTTCCAAATAAATTGGAAATTAAAGTGAGCCGAGCCAACATATTCGAATGCTCTTATAATTTTATCTCCAACATCTCTAATGCCGATTTACTTCGAACTAAATTATGGATCGAGTTTGACAATGAACAAGTTCTCGATTATGGAGGAGCTTCTCGTGAATGGTTTTACCTTTTATCCAAAGAAATGTTTAATCCTTATTATGGACTTTTTGAATATTCAGCGGCCGACAATTATACTCTTCAAATTAACCCTAATTCGGGAATGTGCTCCGAAGATCATCTCTCTTATTTTAAATTTATCGGTCGAATCGCGGGAATGGCCGTTTATCATGGTAAATTGTTAGACGCCTTCTTTATCCGACCTTTCTACAAAATGATGTTATCTAAACCAATTAGTATAAAAGATATGGAAAGTGTTGATTTAGAGTATTACAATTCATTAAAATGGATTATGGAAAATGACCCCGCTGATCTTGATCTCAGATTTGTCGTAGATGAAGATCTATTTGGTCAAATGCAAGTCCACGAGCTTAAACCTGACGGAAGTAACGTTTCCGTTACCGTCGATAACAGAGCTGAATATGTTGAGTAAGTAATCAACCAATTAGCTAATTACATTGTATTGTATCTTCATCAACTAACAAATGGACTAATTTATTTCTTTTTTTTTTACTTCTCTCTAGCCTTGTAATTCAATGGAGATTCGTTTCACGAGTTGGACCTCAAATGAATTCATTCTTGAAAGGATTCGATGAAATTGTTAGCCTTAATTTGATTAAAATATTCGATGAGAATGAATTAGAATTACTTTTATGTGGAATTGGTGAAATAGATGTTAACGATTGGAGGAAACACACTGTTTACAAAGGAGGTTTTCATGCAACACATATTGTTATACAATATTTCTGGAGGGTGAGTTGACTGAATTTCAGAATTTAAATTAGCTAATTGTTACGCTTAGACAGTTATTCATATTCTGAAAATCTAACTCAATAGTAGAAGGTTCAATTTGAGAGCAAGTTTTTCGTCTCAATATATTTTCTTGTTCTTGTTTTGTTTATTCTGCTTTTCTCTCATCATTTAGATCACTAATTGTTATTTATTTTATCTTTTCCTATTCAAGGTTGTACTTTCCTTTTCAAGTGAGATGCGTTCACGTTTACTTCAATTCGTAACTGGAACTTCAAGAGTACCAATGAATGGATTCAAAGAGCTTTATGGTAGCAATGGTCCTCAACCTTTTACTATTGAAAAATGGGGAACACCAGCTAATTTACCTCGTTCTCATACATGGTAATTAGTTAAATATTTACTCATAATTATTGCAAAAGTTAAATCAACACTAATTGCTTCTTCTCTCTCTCTCTCTCTAATAGCTTCAATCGAATTGATTTACCACCATATGAAAGTTATCAGGAACTAAAAGATAGAATGATAAAAGCAATTGAAGGATCTGGATCTTATGGTGGTGTTGACTAATTAAATATACAACTTATTTCATCTCTAGAAACATAATGTTGATTATAATTAGAGTATTGATACAATCGGAATCATTATCATGGTGATAAAAATTAACGATGATAACAAAAAGGATTATTCATTGATTCCTATTCATTGTTATACTTTTCATATCTTTCAATGTCAACCCAATCAATTATGTTGGAGCAAAACAATATAACAGTATATATATCAATCTTGATTATTACTAATTATTGTGCAATTTAATTAACAAAGCAAATAATCACCAAAATGGAATTTAATTTGAATGCAAAAAGAAAACAATGGAAACAAAAAAAAAGAGGAAGGAAAAAAGGACAAGAGAATAACAATTACCATAAATTCACACCCTTCTTGATGAAAGCATCATAATTATCGTCATCATTATTGTCATCATCTCCACCAACAATTAATCAAATTGCAAAATCTACTACGAGAACACACAAAATGTCCACAATTACATTTTAAAGACTTCTATTAATCGATTGTACTTAAAATGAGAAGAAACAATTGTTGCCTTTTTTTTCTTACTTGGAACTTGGTTCTCATCCTTTTACACAGACTGTGATTTCGTTTTTTACCCTGTTCCTGATTTTCCACCATCAATTCCTCTCACCAATCAACTAATTGTTAACTTTGTTTTTTTTTCTTTCTCCCTCTCTTCTTAATTCAATTTCAATTCGATTTCAGTCTTGCTCAAATCAGAAAACATCACAACTTTTTTTCTCCTCTATGTTAATCACAATCACTAAATGCAAAGAGACCTGAACACATTAATTCAATTCTAAACAATTATCTGATTGCTATTGTTTTTGCTAAATACACTTCTCAATCATAGAGAAACAAAAAGAGTAAGAAATGATTAGGAATAATAATTGATCAATTGCAACGTGAAGAAAATTAAAAAAATGTAAACCTAAATCACTTACCCTGGTTTTGGGTTTAATCTTATTTTATGTACAAATCAATTAATGTAAAAAGATTATTTCCCTAATTGGTTTAATTAAATTGAGTGTTTATATCACAGTAAATTGATTGTATCAACTTTGGTAAATCGGATTTACAATTAACTTGATTCATTCGTTTACTTTTCACAAGTTTCAATCATTTCAAACTGATGAATTCATCTAATCATTTCCATGGACAAGATACGAATTGCGACAATTAACTCAAATTGAAAAATTCTCAATCACTTCTTAATCACTCGAATCCTCATTTGATTTTCCTTAATTACGAATTCGCTTAATCATAAAAATCATCTAATTTTGGTAAGATTGAAATTCGTTTATTAGTATTGATGCTTTACTAAAACACGTGATTCTATTGACATTTCCAAGACTGAAATCATTAAAAGTTCATTTATCCCATTCAAATAATTGAATCGATTGGTTAATAGAGGAAAATTTGATTATTCCAAGTCCTAACAATTAATATTTTCAATTTCGATTGATTTTTTTTTTCTTGCTCTTGTGCTGCCATCTAGCGAGTTTTCTATCAACTATGTTTGTTTTCCTTCTTCCATCAGGTAAACATTTATTTTTTCATTCTCAATGTTTAGACATTAATCTAAACTCATAACCTTGATCGGTTTTGCTGACAATGAATTAATTTAGTTCATCATTAATTGTAAAATTTTTCATTCTTTTTCCTTTCTAAATTATATGTTTGTTATTAATCTGTTCCCTTTATCTTTAGGAAGTGAAAATAATGTTAAAAACAACGGAAAGTTTGGTTAAATGGTTGGAAACATTTGATGGTATAATTGATCATAGTGTTTCCATTGATCAATTATGTGATGGTTATTTAATTGCCCATGTACTTTCATCGATTGCTCCAGATCATTTTAATGGTGACTGGTTATCCAAGATCAGAGGTGATATCTCACCGGACAATTGGAGGTTAAGAATAAGTAATTTGAAAAAGGTTTTAGATAAAATTGTTGACTGGTATACTGATATTCTTAATCAAGCCATCTCTACGTGGATAAGTTTACCTGATATTAATGTGATTGGTAAAGAGTGCAATAGTGAACAATTAGGTCGACTTTTACAATTAGTGGTTGGTATTGCTGTTCAATGTGACAAAAAACAGGAATACATTGGTGTTATCATGGGCTTGGCGGAAGAGGTTCAATTGGTTGTGATGCAAGCCATTCAAGAGATAATGACAGTTGGTAGGGATCGTGAAGCGTCAATGTCAATGACTTTCCCCGATTCACTGAACACAGATCAGATTCAAATATTAAAAGATCAACTTCGTAAAGTTATCGATGAACTATCAATAGCCAATGAGGCCAGAGAACATTCTGACCAGCGAACCTTTGAGATGGAGAAAAAGTTCAACATGTTGAAAGAGGAAAAAGAGGCGTTGATCCAAGAGAATGAAAAATTGGTACAAAAGTTAAGGTCCGATGAAATAAATCGTCGAGGAGACCATCGTGGGAAAGAATTGGTGATCCATCGGATGCCAGTCTCAAAGATAGACATTATAATAAGCTACAGTTGCGAATTGAAGCTTTACAAGAAGATTTGTACAAAATGGAGACTCATAAGGAAGAGTATCGAGCCAAGAATGAGATTCTTGAGAACGATTTAATGGAGTTACGCTTGAAGAATGAAGATCTCCAACGGAAAGCTAAAGAATCTCGCTCTCTCAAGGATGAGCTTGATGTACTTCGCCATGTCTCCGAGAAGGTGGAAAAATATGAACAAATGATCGAAGTGTACAAAAATCGTCTTGAAGAGATGTCCGATCTTAAGAGACAAGTTAAAACTCTTGAAGATCGACATAGTCAATTGGTTAAGACAAATATTAAACTGGAAGAGGAATTGAAACGATCATCAACCCTGAAGACTCAAATGGAAATGTACAAGAAACAGGTTCAAGATTTACACACCGAAGTGGCCGAGCAAAATTTGCGTGCAGATAAACTTGACTTTGATTTTAAAAGGTTACAAGATAAATGTACTAACATTAGACAGGAGAAAGAGAAATTGATCCAAGAAAATGATCGGCTTAAATCGGAATTAACTCAGTCTCGAATAAGATCAGAAAATGAATCGCTTCTAAATGAAGATATAATCGCCAAAGATGCCAAGTGCCTTATAAATGAAATCAACCGTCAAAGATTGGATAGTGGTGAAGATATTCGTGAGAAGGTGATTAAATTAGAGCACGAGAATCAAGCCTTACAAGAGAAATTAAAAGATTCAGATAATGAAAAAGTGATACTTTTACAAGCCAATTTGGATGATGCCAAAGAAAGGATAACCGAATTGGAATCAGAAAATCGTAATCTTAATCGATCAATATTAGAATTAAAATCGCAAATCCAAGATCTTTCAGCTAGCGGAACAATTTTCTCACCTCCAATTAACACCAATTCTCCAACTATTGCCACTCACACCGCAACCACCACCACAGTACCAATAAAACCAACGAGTAGCAATTCTCCAGGTCAAGAAGTAATTGAAGAGATGCCGCAAGATTTGGAAACTGCATTACGACTAATTAGTGAGCTACAATTATCAGTGAGAAAAAAGGACCACGAAATGTCCGAAATGGAAACAAAGTATAAAAAATACGTAACAAAAGCTCGTCAAGCGGTTCAAAGCCTCGAACCTTTAAGCTTACAATCACCAATCTCACGAATATCATCTTCCTCTTCTTCCTCCTCTGTTGGTACCAATTCTAATGGCGGAGGTGGTCCAATGTCAGCACCAGTTCCTAACCTTTACTATGGTGAAAGTAACAATTCTCTTTATTTAAGCGATGATATAAACGAGCTGAAAAATAATCTACGACTTAAAGAGAGGCAAATATTTGATCTTGAAAAAGAGCTAATCAACTGTAAGGCTCTTAAAAACATGGAAGAAAAATTGATGACAGTCGCTTTTCACAATTTGGTTTGTAATTCTAATTATCTTATCTTAATTACTCTTATATCGTGAACTTGTTAACCGTTTTTTATATTGTAATTTGCACTTTTAAATTAACATTTTTTTCTCTCTCCTTTTTTTCACCAAAAACTACAGGCAGCTAATGTACAGCGACGGGCAGTTAGCCAACGAATCAGTAATTCCAGGTCACCATCAAGTTCATCACTTTCAGCTGAATGTAACTCGTTCCTGAATAAACAACGTAAAGCACAAACCAGAAGGTTAAATCTCGCTGGTGTAACTCCTAGGTTTGTATTCAAATCAACAGAATAATACTAATCATCATCATCATCATCATGATAACAATTATAATCATAATGATAATAATGATAATTTATGGTCAATTGTGCTTTACAAGCGTAACCACTTTTTGTTTTTCAAACAACACCAACATTATAAAGGCAAATACACTCACACACTCAAAACAAGTTAATTAACCAACTAACTAACTAAACCTTGCAATTGAATTATTCAGTAGTGAAGATATTAGATGTTAACAGACTGAGAGAAAAAAAAATTAGATAAATTGTTGAAAAAGCAGAACAAGAAATCAACTAACGGAGACTAACAATTTAAACTAAACCGGATAAGAGTTGCGAGCTTGTTTTTTTTTTGTTTGTTTGATTGTTGGTGTTTCCTTGTTTTCACCTTTAATAGTTGAGTTAATTGTCTCGTAAACAGGTTTAATTTATATTAAATTCAGTTCATCATATTATCATTGATTGAAATATTCACATGAATCAACTTTTTATTAGAGACTAATAATTATGGTTAACAAATAAGAGCAATTTAACTGGTCGGTTAAATTGTTCATCTATTTTTTACTGTTTGTTGATTGTTGACTAGTATTTAATATATTGACTTGTCGTTTACTTTTAAATCATTATCAGCACTACATTTGTATCATTATTATATTGTTATTATTATTGTTATCATCGTCTCTAAATCAACAATTTAATCAAACATCATCATCACCTATTGTCAAGGCAAACTTTTAGTTTCCATCCGATTCAGTGAATCATTTGAATTTAGATCAACCTTAATTATATTAACCAGCTTTAGCTTTTTTTTGTTGTTATATTTAAGCTTAATTGTTGATGTTTATCATGAAAGCGAAAGAGGCAAACAGCAGCTTACCAACAATTTACTAATCATTAGACCGATTGTGGTAATCATTTATTGATGTAAAATCATCTTCAATTTTATATTTATATTCACACAACATTACACCTCTTAACCTTAATCACCCACCACCAGCAATCAAATTTGATTGCTCTTTAACTAGATTAGATTGACTTTTGTCTTCAATTTGATTCCCTCTCTCCCTCTTAATCATCGTTGCATATCTTGATTTAGATTTTAAATTATCATGACTAATATTAATTTTCTCTTTATTTTTCTCTTCTTTCTTTTAGTGAATTATATGAATAATACTTTGTCACAACAATTAACTAGCAATTTACATTTTTGATATGATTTCTTGAATGTTAATTTATATATAAATCAATGATCAGATGAATTATTTTAAATGATGACGATGATAATTACCAAGTAACTTTCAAAAATTGGATATTCCTAATTGCCTCTCTCTCTCTCGCTTGATCTGGATGCATGGATGGATTAAATCAATTGATCAGAATCACAATTAAGGCATCTCCTCATTTTCTACTCTCTCTCTCTCCTTAATTGCTCTCTCATGCAAATTTAACTCCAGGATAACGATGATTATGATTCCAATTTTCAACTAATGATGATTAACTGTTCGCATGTGATTCCCTTACCTCTCACCACCTTTTGGCCTTGTTGAGACAATTTATTTTCTATTACAATTATCATCATCATCATTATTATTACTATTATAATTATTACAATTAATTAGTTACCCCCACTAATTATAAAACAACACACACACACCTAACGTATATACAATCATATGTAAATTAAGTTTGTCGATCTGGTAATTTTGATTTTCCAACCACAACATTCACAGATTAATTTACGAGAAAGTTAATCATGATTAACTTTCATTATTTCTCATCAAGATGGATAATATTTGTGTACAGCCCAATGTTAAATTAACTGGTTTAACTCAACAATTAAATGAATTATCAGACTAATCGTCAATTATTGAACTCGAATCGAACATTTTCTTGGTTTAATTTTGTTTTTCTTCCGTTACGTTTGATCTTTAATTGTAACAATTGTTAAATTGTTATTGATGATGAAGACGATTCCGTTATTAGTCAATTTTGCCATTCCTTTTATTTGATAATTTCTTAATATCACAACATGAATCATTTTCTCGTCTTTTTTTCATCTCGCAACTTTTGTGGTTTTTTTTTCTTCAACAGAAATTGGTTCACAAATACATGATGAATACAAGAACTTTTTAAATTAGCTTGATTAACACAATCATTTTGAGTATCTCTTTCTCTCTCTCTCTCTTTCTTTTAATTTCCTTCCTACTATTTGAATCTCTTTCTTATTGAACACTGAGCAAAGAAACAGTAAAAGCACAATTAACGAAACACAAATGTAACAACACAACTTTTTCTCTGTGTTATTTTGTCTATTTTATCGACTTGTATTATGGCAATGGGTCGAAATAATCGATATGAGCTCCGTTATCATAATTGTCATTCTCCAGAATTTGTATCATTCTCTCTGCACTATCCTCTGGATCAAGAAGATTATCCTGATTCTGAAAGAAATCAGTTAAATGTCCTCGATTCGCCAACATCATGGCCATGTCAGTTTTCAATGGGCCAGGAGCATAGCTGAGGACTCGAGTAGCAGGATCTTCAGAAGCGACTGATTTGAAATATTGATCTCGAGCTGCTTTCACTAAGAAAAAAAAAACAAATTATTATTATAATTAATTGTATGGCAAAAGAAAAATAAATTTACAAATTTTGGTTACTTACTTGATCCATAGAGAGCTAATCCTTTCATTGGCTGTATTGCTGCCAATGAGGTGATATTGATGATGTTTCGCTTTGGGCAGTTTCGGAATGATCGTAAAAATGATGAAGTAATTATGACGGCTGAAGAAAAGTTGACTCGGGCATATTCATTAAGCTCAGATATAGCACGGGGAGTATAACTATCTACCAATTGGTCAGGATCATTAAGAGTTCCTGCATTGTGAACAAGAATAACTTGATCATAATCTTGTCTCTCATGTTCCATGATAAAATCTAAGGCAGCGAGATTGTCATAATCATTTAATTGACCAGGAACTGGTTGAATATTGGCTATTCCAGGACCTGTTCTCTGTAACTCTCCAGTGACCTGAGCAAGATTAGTAGTGACCCGTGATAATAAAAGAAATGAAACTTTGGCAGATGAAGGTGAAGTTGATGAGGAGAGTAACGATGATGATGATGAAGATGAAGATGATAATTGGGGCTGTTGAATAGGAGTAAAATTATGATACTGATGAAATCGAGTGGACAGTTTAACAGCTATTGCTTTCCCAAAACCTCTAGAGGCTCCAGTGATAATGATCAACACTCTATTACCCCACCAACTTTTAGACTGTCCAACCGTCTCATCTTGACCAGAAGATGAAGAGGTTACATCGCAAGACATTATGTTGGTTGAGCTTCAACAATTGACGCCACAATTTGACACAATTAGAGTACAACTGCAGATGCTAATGGACACAATCCAAGATAAGGAAAGAAAAAGAGAAGAGAAAAAACATAGATAAGAAAAAAAGAATTAAAAGAAAAAAGCAAACAGAACAATATCAAAATGGACGAAATATAAGATGATGGAATAAAATTAATCTTCTCAACGGTTCTATCCATTTGTTATTCCTTGGAAACAGAGAATCAACATGATAAAACTTACCCATTATGGTCCTAAATTGGAGTAAATTGTAAATTAAATCGATGGAATAATGGAAAATAACAGACAATCAATTTAATAAACACGAATTAAAGATGAGAATTAAATGAATTTTGACAGATCTGTCAAAAGAACTTCAGCCGACAGCTGATGGAAAAGCCGAACAACCGAAATTCGGCTAACATGGAATTTAAAAGTTCCAAACTAACATATGTTATTTTTATTCTTTTCTCCTCATTAATAAATTATTCTAATGATTGTGTTTAGTTGAATTTTAATTAACAGAGAATTTATTGGTCATCGTAAAAATTTGTTCCTTTTCTTATGAAGAACAACAATTTTTGGAGAGAAATTAAATTGTTGCTCCAATTGATCAGTTCAATTAAAGCCTATGGATGATTGTTTATTCAATTTTCTCGTTTTTGGTTTTGGTAAATTACAATTCCAATTGTTAAATTAATATTTATTAAGGTGGTTTGGATTGGTTGATTGTTTCACTGGATTGTCAACTATTTTTGATTCTGTGATGCTTTTGATTGATTGTTACTTTTGATTGGTATAAACATCAGGATGTTATTGATGCCATTGGTGTTGTTATTGATGAAGACGATGAACTAAAAGATATTGATCTTATTGATGTTGTTCCGTTGGTTGAATTTTCTTTTTTGCTCTTGCTAATCATCTTTGCTGATAGTACAATTAAAAGACTTACTAGAACCACACAAAGGTAAACAAATACAATTGATTGAGGATGCGAATACCAATCGGAGGTGTAACTAGACTTACGGAATTTTCCTTCAGGCTCATCGATATATGAGGCGAACGTCAAATTATCATCGTACTCATATTCTGAGAGATCACTCATAATACAACGAACACTTTTGATTGGAGTAAATCAGGAATCTATTAATCAATGAAAAAAGACTTTCCAATCAAGACAAAGAATCAACAATTAACCATAGTGACATTTACACACACCAATAGATTCTAAGTGAGTATAAAATCCTTTCAGATGAATTATAATTAAGTAAATTTATATCAATCAAATCAAAGCTGAGAAAATGGAAAATGTTACTAATCGTTTTTTATTATTCCAAATATTAATTATTTTCAATTTTCTTCTTGATTAGAAATAACCTGAAAGTCAAAATATTGGATTTAAATCGCTGATTAAAAGGTTTCCACGCTAATTATCCTTCTCTTGATCTCTTTAATTTAAGATGTTCACATGATGATTAGAAATTAATTTGGTTGTTTGATGCGATCTTCATATCTGATTAATGAATTTCATTCTTATCAACCGATTGGAATAAAATTTGAGAAGCAAGTGAGTCAATTTCGATTGTTGGTTTTTTGTTGTTAATTAATTGTAATGTGTACAAGATTCAATCTTACAAAGAGAAAGAAAAAAGTTAATTAATAAGAAATCGTTTTGTTTTTTTTACGTTCTTTCTTCGTCTTCGTCTTCTTCTGTATCTTTTACCTTCATATCTTAGACTCTTTTCTTGTATTGATGTTTCATTTTATATTGAATTCGAAAAGGGTAAGAAAAGGATGATGAAAAGGTGATGAGATAAAAGGTAATGATGATAAATGAAGGAAAGGGTTAGTTTAAAGAGAGAAAGAGAAAGAGGAATAATGATGATGAGCAACTGAATGAGAATCTACATGAAGCTATTATGGACACCGAGTAAGTGATTACCAGGTAACCAATTGTTATGTTTGTGTCTTTTGTTTTCGTTGAATGATGATAAAAGATGCGGATGAGGATGTGGATGTGGATGAGAGAGAGAGAAGATGAAAAGATAGAAGAGATAAGAAGAGTTTTAGTTGATGATGTTGGTGTTGTGGTTGTTATGTTGTTGACTATTATTCGAGTATTTTTACTTTCTTTCCAATGAATTAGAAGCAAAAAATGCTTTGTTTTTCTTTCAGAACAAGATCAAAGAAGAAAATTTTTTGACTTAGATTACAATGATGATACAATTAAAAAAAAACAAACAAGCAAAAAACAATGTGAGCTTGTTGGTTGTTGTCAGAGTTTCTATCATGTCGATTTGTTGAATTTGAGGAATCAGAGGGAGAGAAAATCTCATTAGATTCAGTGTAGATTCATCTGGATCCATATTGCTGCCTAAAAAAAGCATCATGAAGTTGATTTAATGGTGGGAATGGGATTGCTGGTGAATTACAAGTTTTGAAGGAGGAAAAATAAGTTGCTTTGTTGTTGATTCGGTTGGTGGTTGTGTTATGCTACATGGAGACCTTGTTGTTGTTTTATCGTCGATATCGTTCAGTTCGTCGATGTTGGTCATTTGTTTTTTGTTTGTTTCGTTTGTTTCATTTCTTTTATCTTCATTTTTTTTCAATTTATTGCGACAATTTTACCCCATTTCTTTTTTTTGTATGTCATCATACAACGGGTAAAATGAGCGAGGGACAGGATAGAGAGTGAGAGAAAGAAAGAGGTGGAAAAGTGAGAAGATATATTATCATAATAATAATAAAAGAGAGCGCTTTTGGGTCTTTCCAAAAAAGGATGAGATTCGGCCTCTCAAAAGTGTATTTATACGATGCATGTGTATCATGTCCAAAACTCGGTCAAGTCGATCTCCTTTTTCTTTCCTTGCACCAAAGGAGTTTCCTTGAATGTGTATCCAGTTTTATTTAACATGTTAATCGATGATGATGATGATCAATTTTTCTTGATACTGATTCTAAATGCTGCAAATGATGCAAAAAATGATAACGGATGAAAAAAAGAAGATGATCATTATGTTGATGGTAAAACTTTTTTTAAAAATGATGAAGGTGGTGGATGCTCGAGGTGGTGATAAAAAGTTCTCAAGTTTTAGTGGCGTAGGTGCTGTTGATGTTTTGAATAATGATGATGATGATGATGATGATGATGGAAATGATGATATAGGCTAGATAAAACCAGAACGGTTTTTTTTGGAGCAAGTTTGGTTGAGGTAAGAATGGAATTGCAATTGGGTCTAAAGAGGGATCGTCGTATATATATTTATATATATTCAAAGAAGACCAAGAAGATTGAAGATAAAGATCAGGACAAAATGTGAACATTTTTGTTTAGCAGATTATAAGTAAAGATTATGGACAAAAATGCGATGTGTACACGTTTCAAAATGTACGCATGATGAGAGTAGTGGTGGTGATTGTGTGGTTACGGTGGTGTTGTTGTTTTGGGTAAGGTTGAATTGATGACGATGACGATAATTGTGATGATTCTTCGTACGTGTTGATGTTGATTCACCTGTTACACTTTTTGCTTTCCAAATACCTTTTCTATTCACCATCATGAACAAAGTATGGTAATAATACATCATGTTCACGTTACATGTCAAGACAGAAGGTGGTGAATGGTGACAAAATGTTGATCGGGTGTTGCATGATGTGTGTGTGTTTGTTAAGCTACAAATAAGTATGATGAGATGAGGATATTGATGAGGATATTAATAAGTCAATGAAAAAACGACGTAGTAAAGTGTGGCAGCAGAAGCGGCGGTGAATTACGAGGTTGACGGCAGTAATGTAGCTGAGAGGACACAATCATAACTTGTCATCCTTTTTTTTTTGTTTTAATTATAATCTCTTTTGAATTATATTAGGCTAAATTTAGGTTTATATTCACGTTTTCAACTCTCCTCGGGGAAAAAAACTCTCAGTTTAATGCAACGGGGACAAAAAGTGTTCACTGGCGTTTGTGGCCATTAATTGGTTGATTATTGTTGTGCCGCACTGGGGATGATTCACTAACAGCTGAATTATCACTATTGATTTGTGGGGGATGTGGTAAACGACGACGAGTAAGCCAAGTATGTTTAAGAGCCTCATGAGGTGTCATCCGTAACTCGGGATCCCATTCAAGGCATTTCTTGATAAAGTCAATGAAATGCTCATCATCACAGCCTTTTAATGCCGTTGACCAATCTCGTGAACCTGGTGGGCCTCTTATCTTCCCACGTCGGGAGCGTCCTCCATTTAATAAAACTGTACCATCGGAAAGTATATTTGGTTGACAGTAACGGGGATAACCTTTTGAGTTGATGAATCTTTTCACTCGAGAAGATTGTTTCAACAGCTTTTCAGGTGGCATACCAAGTAATTCAATAATACAAGCTAATTGATCATCCTCATCTTCACCGGGTAAAAGAGGTGATCCGGTTGCTAATTCAGCTAGAATACAACCAAACGACCACATATCAATGGGCATACCATATTTACAACCCAGAATGACCTCCGGGGCTCGGTAGAAACGAGATTGAATGTAGGTGTAGACTCGTTGGGTTTCAAAGCAGGAAGAGCCAAAGTCAATAACTTTAATCCCACTTCGACCTTGTTGTTTGAGGAGTACATTTTCAGGTTTGAGATCGCAATGGATAATCTTATTGTTAAACAAGGCTTCCAAACACCTTAAAATGGAGTAAGCAAACCGACGGACTAATTGTATACTAAAACCTTGATATTTGTTTTTCTTAATTAACTCGTAAAGGTTAACACTAAGAAGCTCAAAGGTTATACACATATGATTACGGAATGTAAAGTTCTCGTACATATGTATTATATTCATGGTATTATCTTTATCTTGTTTCCTTAGATGATCCAATATCCGAATCTCTTCTTGAGCTTGACGATGGAAACGTTTCTCATTTCGAACCATTTTTAAGGCCACATGCTGTTGAGTCTTGTGATCATAAGCTTTAATCACTTGACCAAAGCTTCCTTTTCCAATGATCTTTAACATCTCATATCGATAAGCAATATGATCATGGAGAACATGTAAATATGAACCATGTTCATCGTCAAAACCACAATTATTGGGAGCACCGATTACACTGAATCGTTTTTTAGCATTGGCACCAATGAAATATATTTGTGAATAACCAAAGATTTCATGATGCTCATAAGCTGATAATTTGTATGAATAAAGTTTCATCACTTGTTCAGGTGTAACCACCAAAGGTTTCGTCTTACCTTTATAAGGTACTAAACCTACTAAATTGGACGTTGATCCATTACCATTATTATACTTGTTTAGACAATTGTTATAACTTTGCTCTTCATTTTCTATATCTTGACTTGGTGTTGACTGAGCATTACCATTGTTATCATTGGTACTATTTGAACCATGAGATCCACTAGATCCATTGGAGCTTCCATTATGGGTTCCATTGGAATTACATCCAGAATCATTTACATCAGGTAAACCATTATTATTATTATTATTATTATTATTGACCTGGGCACGAGGTAAAACAATCTCACCTTGACCATGCATAACAACCGAGATATTAAATCCATTGATTAAACAATCGGCTTCAGCAGAGGAATAATCAACTGTCTCGGAGATACCGTTATTATCACTGATGTTGTTCAATCCATTGGATGAACCTTTATAAGATGAGCTTTTGATGGGCGGCAATAAACCGGAACTTGGATTACAATTTGAATTAACTAAAGAGGAACCATTCTTATCCGAAATTTGAGGTAAAAATGGACCACTAGTTGATCCATTCATATTAGTAATTAGCGAGCGAGTCCGTGAGAAAGGCATCTCAAATCAATTTAATTCTTGGTTTAATCTAATAAAATCACTGTGAAAAAAAAGATAATTTAAACGGTAAAAGAAAAGAAGAAGAGAAAAAAGAAATGAGATAAAAAAGCAAATTAATTATCAAATTAAAAAGAAAAAACAACAATTAGATAATATGATATAAGAGAAAGAGAGAAAGAAAAACTAAATTGGTTGTGTTATTACCACAAGAAGGAAAAGAGAAACATTGAAACACAATTGATCCAAAAAAGAGAAAAAAACACATTTAAACACCTGAGATATACACTTTAAACACTATTTAATTGATTGTTGATTAGAAACTAAATTAAATTAATTAGAAAAATTGAGAAAAAAAAACTAATTGTGAAAAAAGATAAAAAAGTTAAAAAGAAAACGAGAAACAAAGGGATTGGTAAAGATGCTGAAGAAAAGAACTGGTTAGGGGCCGTATGACCATATCGCTTGGAAAAAGTTCGGTCACTTAGTAGACGGTCCCTGTTCTCTTCATTGTCTAACCTTTGGATCGCTTGTGATGAGACCTTTTCCTCGAAACGGGCTCATAGATGGAGCCACCAAATGGTCTTTCTTTTTGTTTACTGTCGATGTTTTTTCTCTTTCTTTTCCTCTGTCGTCTTATTTTTGAGAGAGAAAGAAAGAAAAAGGTGAACACTAAGTAGAATAGTAATAGTAGAGTAGTTACCTAGGACCTTACCCAAAAAAAGAAGAAGAAAATCAAAACAAATGAGATAAGAAATAAAGGGCGAGGCTGAAGGAAGAAAAAGTGTCAACTTTGTTTTTCGAGTTTCGAATTGTAATTGAACTTTTAGAACCTTCGAACAATTTGGAGAAGAAAAAAAAGTAAAAAATTCTCTTTAACAATAAAATGATCTCTTCTATTGAATAGAAATTAATTCCTCAATCAGTTGATTATTGTTTCTAATTCTTCTAATAATTGTTCTCATGGAATTGGAAATTAATTTCATTTAAACTACTAATTGTTTCTAAATTGTTGCAATTGATAAAACAAAGTAAACGTCAACAATTTTAACCTTAACTGTTTCACCTTATTGATTAACCAAGCAACAATTCAATTGTTACCATTTGACAATAAATATTGAGTAAATTAGTTAAATCAGTTAGAAAGACAATAGAATAACAATTTTCTTAATCACAATTAAGAAAATAAAATTTTCTTTTCTTTTTCCCTTCATTATCATCATTAAACCGTCTGATTTAGATGAAGGATAAATCAATTTAATTGATTGGAATATAATGATATTCTCGATCATATCAACAATTAAGGAATAAGAAATGCAACTTGATTAAAACGATTATGATTAACTAATCAACATGATGTTATTCATCTTAAAATCTAAACATAGATTAATCCTAATCCTCAATTTCCAAGTAAATCTTCAAGCCTCAAGCTAATCCGTTTTTCCAAGAAAATTCAACTGATTAATACCGGAAATTTTTCCTCACAGACTAACAATTAAGCCTCCACAAAGAAACAGGTAGATTAATTTACTCCAATCAATGGATTAACTTAATTGTGAAAAAACATTGAAAATCATAGAGATGAAAAAACTAATCAATATAATGAAATTTAGGTTATCAACAATCAAATTTAAAGTGATTAACACACAATTAAACATTTGGGTATTCACATGGACAGAATTCAAAATGAATCGGATTAACTAATGATAGAAAAGGTTTAAATTAAAAGTGAGAATTACCTTTTAGTAACAATTGATTGAGATTGTGATCCAAATTATTGATTAGTTTAAAATGAATTGATAATCACAATCATATGGATGATCATAATTTAATTAAGGTGTCAAGTCTTATATCCAATTAAATGTACACAATATTGATTATGGTGAACACAATTTCCAACAATTAACCAACAGGGAAATGAGAGATGAAACAAAAATGATAATCCAATACAATTAAATCCCACTGATGATTAAAAAAAATTTTCTCTCTCACACAAAATGATTAAGATGATTGCAGATTAATTAAAAGTTTAGATGATTACGATTACCACTGAAATTGTGAATTGTGAACAAAAAAAATGAAAGGTAAATTGTTATTACGTTGAAACCTTATATCTGATGGTTTGTATAAAAAGCACTCATATTGTTGGAAACTTAATTGTTGACAAAATTGACTGAGAATTAATTTCTTTTCATTCAACAATCAATAATAAAAATACAATAACAACAAATAATAATAATAGATTGTAAATGTTAGCGTATTGAGAGAAGAGACTTTTTTTTACCTTTACATGGTCTCACTTTTCTTTCTCTTACGATTTATCTTCTTCTCAATAAACCATCATCATCATTTCATCTCTCTCTCTCCTTCTCTCCCTTCTCTCCCTTATCATCATTATCTTCATCATCATCAAGCTTCAACAGATCATGATGATCAATAATTCTGAGCATGGCTGTTGACCTATTCAACCCTTATTTTCTGGGTTATATTCAACCTTTAAGATGGAAAGACAGTAAAACCGACAGAGAAAAAGAGACTAACCACATTCTCTCTTTCTTTACTGTCTTTTTTCTCTCTCCCTGTCTATCTTTCTCTCTTCCCTCCCTTCTCTCTCTCTCTCTTTCTCAGGTCATCATCATCTTCAGTCTGAGTTCATTCCCTTTGCTTCATCATCATTCTGAATTTACTTCCACCCTCTTCCTTCTCCCTCGTCCTTCTCTCTCTCTCTCTCTCTCTCTTTGTCCATTAAAATAGAAGATGAAAGTTTCTCCCTTTCTCCCAACCACCTCCTCCCTTTTATCTTCTCTCTGTTAAAAGTTTCTCTTTCCTCATCCTCTTTCACCGGTTCCTTCATCTCTCCATTCAAAGGGCATGTCTCTTCACTTTATTTGGTAACCTACTTTTCGCATCCTCATCTTTTTTCATTATTTTTTTCTTCATCTTATTCAATCCCTTTTATATCATCATTATCATCCTGCTATCATTTCATTATCAATTCTATCACGATGCTCATTACTATACTATTCCCATTAACCAATCACTAATTGTCGTCAATGAATCAATCATAATGCTAATTACTCAATTTATCTTCATTTTTTATCAATAAACTTTTTTTTTGTTCAGATTTTGCTGAACAAAATTTCATTTTCCAGGTAAAAGTTATCATGTTGCTGTTTTTGTAATCAACATTTTTTTACTTATTACAACTAATGTGTGTGTGACATTTAAATTTGATTGTGAAGGTTAAAGACCCTTAATGATAATTGTGAAACCTTAACTGTTAGGTTAATGAAATTGTCTCTCTCTCTCTCTCTCTATTTCTGTGTGTGAATGTATCTCATTAATAATAATCATCACCTAACAATTAAATGTTTTCAATGATTAAACAATAGAGATTGTGACAACTTTTTTTCCATACAAAGATCAATGATCTTAATGTTAGTTAATCAATGATAATTCATATCAATGTGTTATTAGCTCAGGTAATCAGGACTAAACAATTAAGAGAGAGAGAGAGAGAAGAAAAATTTTATTAATGAAAATTGTAAAAAGAAAACATTAAAACGATGATTAATTATAATTGTTTGTTTGTTATTAAAAGAAACGTAAACGTAAGTGATAAGTTATATTATTGATTCTAATTATAATCATGATTGATCAAACTGATTGTTACTATTATTGTTACGATGTTTTTTAGAGGCAACAAATTGTTTTGGCAATGATGATGATGATGATGATATAAATCATAATGATTCATTGAAATAGGAAGTGATAAAATCAATTCAAAATCAATGTTAATTTTAGAGTAAAAAAATCATAATGAAAAAAAGGTAACTATTTACAAAGGTGTGGTTCCTATTATTGTTATCGTTAAGGGTTCTAATAGCGACGGTAACGATGATGATGATGATGGCGATAATAATAATAGACTGAATGATTTGAACAATTTAATGTTTGTATATTTGATCACAATTAAACTACAACAAAATCAACAACCTACAACAATTTGGAGTATATTAAACCACCAACGTAAAAGGGTTAAGCCCAACCAGAAAATTACCTTTCTCAGATTCTGTTCAATTCTCTCTCATCGAACAATGACCTTTCAACCACCTCAATGAAGATGAAGATAAGAATCATGATGATAATGACGATTATCATCATTCTACTCATTTTGTCTACTTTCTCTCTCATTCTCTCTCTTTTTTTTTCTTCCACCGTGTGTACATACACACTTTTCGTTGTGACTCATTCTTACTTAACTTTCACTTTACCTTGAAGAAGAAAACATTTTACTCTTTTTCTCATCATCGTCATCATCATCATCATCTCTCTCTTTCTCATTCTCTCTTTTTTCTGCCATTTTCATCATCATCTCTTTCTTTTTTTATATTCTGTTCATCTTCTTCTTGGGGTTTGGTGGCTTTTCTCAATTCATTTTGTGAACTTATAACTTGAACTTTTCTTGTGATGTTGGTGGTGTTAGAATATGAAAGAACTGAATTTGGATGAGAACAGAATTTTCTGCGCCAACTCAGGCTTATCTTCCTTTCTTTCTTCAACCTTTTTCATCATCATCTCTCTCTCTCTCTTCTATGGCGGTTATTAACCTCATATTGGATCCATTCTCTTCCGTTTATATCCTTCCCTTTGCTTCTAGGCTTTGACCTGATTTCAGAATCTCAATGCTCAGAGTCTCATGTATATTATACTTCCCATGGAAATAGGAAGAGAGAAACAAGAAAAAAGCTGAAAAGGAGCATTTTCAAGATGATCATCAGAATGATGATGATGATGATGATAAGATGATTGTCTACAATAAACAACATTAAATGAGGAACAATTTTTTTGTTCAACTTAATCTGTTGTCTTATCATCTTCATACTAAATGGAAAAGGAAACAACAATCAACAAGAAGATGGAAACAAATTAACTTATCATGTTTTCTCATTATTATTCTTGAATTAAATTTAATTCAGTTCCTATGATTAAATCATTTATTTCCATGTTTCTCCCTACAAAATTATTGGTACAATTAACTAATAAACTTTGAAGGTTAATTGTTGTTCATGTGTTTTTCACATTAATCAACTTTCCTCTTGTTGGATTTTTATTTCCATTAATTGATTATGATTAATAAACTGTTAGTTAATTGTTGTTATTTATATGAATGAAATTTAAATCTCATATTAGAATACAGATTAATTGTAACTTATTAATCTCAATCAATTAATTAATCTAAACTGTTAAGTTGCTTGTGTGTCGTTTAAGCTTAGGCGAGTTGGTTGATTAATCAATAAGGTTTCAACAATTAAGGTTATGATAAACATTGATGATTAACTATCTAGAAACCAATTAACTCAACTTGAATCAAATTGGTGATTAACTTTTACTTTAAATTGTTGTTAAAATGAATGAGATCCAGAAACAAAACAAATGGATAACAATCAAAATCAATGATAATAATTCAAATTTAATTGCTCGATTACAATTTCGCTAATTGTAATTATCACTTCCTTCCGAGCCTTAATTTTTTCTCGCCATTCACTTGATTGTTACAAGAGTAATTAATAGTGTTAATTGTTAACAAGTCAACAATTAATTACGATCATAATTGTTGGCGCTCTTTTTGTTTCTCCACAATCACCACGCCTTTTAGTTTATCATTTGTTTTGATTTTTTGATTGATTGTGATTAATTGTTTTCTTTTATACCATTTGTATCACTTGTTGTTGTTTTTCTAATTACAATTATAATTAGTTAATTGTCATGTTAGTAAGTGTTTCTGGTTAATGATGATGATTAAATGTTC